AACCGAAGCGTAACATCCTCTCTTCTTCTTTCCCTCCTCTCGTGTTCCGACCGAAGCGCATCATCCTTTCTCCTCCTGACACATTTCTCCTTGTTGAAAATCCAGTCTCGTTTCCGGTCTCCTTATTCCATCCGCTCTTCGTCACGTGTAAACGCTATTTTTTAACCTTGAGATTTCGGTCATGGTGCTATAATATCTGTACATAAATACTGTGGGAATCGTTGCGTAATCAATGTACCATTACAATTAATATTATTCGAATTAATCGTATACATTGATATGATTATGATAATTCTTTTATTATTTTATTATTTTGTTATCATCGATACTGATATATATATATATTTACACGAGCGTAAAGCTGTTCAACTGTGTACGTATGACTTAAATTCGTCTCGTGTATAGATTGGGAAACGCTAACAAAGAAACAAAACGGCGGTTCCTTCTTTCTTTTTCTTTTTTATTTCAGAGATAAAATATATATATATATATAGTAAATATATGAATATATATATATATTCCGCCCGTAAGACAGGACATTTGCAATAATCACGATTTTGTTTGATATTGATTCTATGATTGTATATTTATAGATAAGTTTAGCTCAAGCGTGCATCTCGTTGCGTACGCTGTATCGCATATATTATACGTACACTTCTTTTTTATATAGGCGAGATATCGACTGCGTACTATACCTGTACCGGTTGTTTTATAAATCGCAAAACAGCCAAGAATTGAGGATTCCTTGACCGTCTATAAGATGACTCTAAAATTTAAAAAAAAAATTAAAAAGAACATTGATCCTCTTAAAATTTTCATATTCTCGATACAAGAAAGGGAACGATAATTCAAATTAAAGAAATCGAAGATTGTATGTTCGGTAGGTGGTTCCGGGTCCTCTTATTCTCGCTACGGAATCTTCGTTTTTATTTTCTGTTCTGATTGATTCACGATTTACGAAACAGCCTAGATACAATATATGATATATCGAGATGATAAAAGATGACGGTGACGATGGATGATGGCGTGCCAAGCGAGGCGGGAATTGTTTTTCTTTCTCTTCTCTCTCTTTTTTTTTTTTTTTTTTTTTTTTTTTTTTTTTTTTTTTTTTTTTTTTAATGCAAAAAAGAATATATTACATATGTATGTATAAAATAATATAAAAACGACGATAATGATATTAAGGTAAATAAGTACGACAAAACGACTGCTCTATACTGCTAAAGTACAAATGTTTCATTTTAATTGTTTTATAAAGATGAAAAAAAAAAAAATGATATCGATTTGTTAGAGATTAGGTTTAATGCGTGCAAGCTCGCGCGCGATGTACGTGTATAATTATATTTATTTGTTAATCTCTCAGCATAATTAAACGTGGGCCCCTCCATCCGCGTGTCATCGATGCATGCACTAAATACGTGACACGCTTATGTTCGTTCAATTTCGCGTTCACACGACACAACGTTCACACTTAACACCCATTTTTTTTTTTTATTCTAACGTACTTATGAATGTGATTCGCCTGATTTATGTACGGTAATGCCCGGTTAATCGTCGCAAATTTTCTCTGCTTAGTAGTCGCATTTAGAGGATAACGATTAAAATTTCAATATCTCTTACAAGAAACGTCCATTTTCACTGTATTCACTGAAATAAGAAATATTAAAATTTTATTGAGTTCCGTACGATGAAAATGATACCAAACACGGCTATATTTAAATACTGTTAAGTGAGAGTCACCTCCCCCGCTAATAGTCGCGACCTGGTTCCAAGTCTGCGACCGCTAAGCGAGCATTACCGTATTATTCGATGATATACAGGTGCGTACGGATGCACAGGATTAAAATTCGTCGTTTTCGTCGTAACACGCACAGATTTCGAACGGTCTCCAATTATATTACCCTTTTTGACGGACAATCACCACAAATGGTGTCTAATGATCGATGCTGAACAGGGAACAGAACTTGCAGACAGACAGTGGTTTCCTTTTTGTACAGCGTTTCCCAATCGTTTTATTTCACCTGTTGAAACAATACCTATGTATAAAACGTTGTATTCTGTTTATTTGATAAGCGAACGAAAATTCAAGTAATATGTTAGAATCGTAAGAGAGAAATCTCGTAAACTGCCTTTGGACTTGATAACTACCTTATTATTTCTAAGTAAATTCTAGTAAAGTAATTTTATACGAGGAGAAGAAAGGCTTTCGGTAAAGCTATCTGTGTAAAACTCGTTGATTGGGAAACGTTGATTTATTTTAATCAAGGTACGACAATAATACGTACATACTGCTTAATTGTAAACCGGTAAATTGTTTAAGTATGACTATGTACAAAATAGTAATAGTATACTTTGGTAGATTTGTTTCTTAAATGAAATAATGTTTATCGATACGACACGTTGTTGTAATTCATCTGTGCTCAAAAATATGAACAACCGATTAATCTGTTTTAAGGATTATCATATAATTTAGTTGACACGCTATCATCATACTGAAAGATGTAAAATATTTTTCTAATAAACGATAAAGTCACGCTAATTTTAATACGATTCACTGTCATGGGTAGAAAAATTCTGAGCAAAGATGAATTCAAATAAATACAATATTCTTTATAATAAAATTACATTGAACGCGTTATTATTGTCGTTGCTTGGTTCGATCATACATTCATGCTCATTAAACATTACTTCGTATTTTACATAATGTTCCATTTCGTAATCGTACTTAATCATAACCGGTATCGTTTCATCTGATTACCGATTAATTTCAGACATTTCACGATATATCCAATTGAATCTGATAATGATTCGATCAATGTTTCATCCTTTCCGGCGCGATGTGTTTTCCCTATTTCCTGTTGGACAGCCCGCATTAAGTTTCAATAAACGCATCATATTTAATTAATGCACGTCCCTATTTATATAAATCTATCCATTGCTGCAGAAAATATTTTTATCGGCTACGAATCGTTTTTATAAATAAAATTTAACATATCGTCGTATTCGATGTACAATCGTAAAAATAAAATTGAGTAAATAGGGAAAACAACGAGGAAAATAGTAAATCTAAAGAGATCATGATCGAATCAATTGCAACAATGATTCCCAAAATTGTAATCCAAAGCGAATGCAATGAAGTAATAGTCTCGCGCTGCTCGCGATCTAATGATTGCACGAAAAAGAAATACAAAAAAAAAAGAAAGATCAATACACATATATCTCTGTCATATACATATCGTCGCAATAATCGATCAATATTTTATATTTTCTCCTGTAAGACAAAAGTTTGTCCACATTGGCTCTTTGCAAACGCGCGAATCGATGGTATTTTTGTAAACCCTTTAGAAATCGATTTCATGTGAAGTCCAAGCTGCCGATAGAACGTCTTACAATGTAAAAGTGTTTTTTGCAATGAATCGCGATAAAAAAAAAATGACTATAGTTCGCAGAGGGTTAAAGAAAAGAAGAAAAAAAAGAAATACTCGGACAACATTTGTCGACGATAGGATGCTTGACCATTTGAGTGCAGAGGATCATTGATCCTCGATACTCTGACGGGAAATACGAAAAGCGCGGCAACGCTTCTTGCATTTCTTTCGTCTTGAAACAATTGTTGAACGCAACGAATGTTGCACGTCCAACGGTTGTGTCTTCTCATTGAGAAAATCATTCGTGATTCACTGTTATTTGATCAGTATCAGTTAATAAACTTTTTAAATAGTGTTAAAAAATAAAGGTAACATTTCTTTCTTTCTTACATCCTTCATTTCATCCAGGTTCCCAAGGCGTTTCCTGCCGTTTGATCACTTCCGGAACTACTCTGCACTCAAATGGTTTGATCGATGATGAGGAGAATAAATGATTCGCGTTAACACTAAAACTCCAAAACGTATGTTATGTTTATCAAATACAATCGACAGAGTCTTTATATCTTATTAGAATTATTGTTAAACAAGTAGGGAATGTCTGGGTTTTTAATCGTTGATATTCATATATTTTTTTCCTACTCCTTCGTGTTCTTTGTCACGTTAGAATTATAAAAATATCAGTCATTTATCTGTATTAACTTTAACTAACGCTTTTCAAATCGATATCAATAACTTTCAACCTTCAATTCGAGATGATATATAAATGTATTTAAATACTTGTCATTACTGAAAGTTATGTTAGAGGTTAGAAATGCTTCAAACACTTTTTGTAGTTTACAGCGAAAAAATGAATGAAAGTTACTACATATTTAATGTGATTATCATCACAATTTCCATGATCAATATTTTCTTACTTTCTTTATTTATAACAATGGAATTAAAAAGTATTTTGCATGGTTATATTCTGTATTTATACAGTACTTCCGGTAGAAGCATAAGTGTTCCAAATTTTGCGGAACGATACGGGTGTTCATATTTAGATATTCATACTATCCGGATATTACAAAAAATAATATTTGAATAGTACAAATAATGCAAGTAATATCCGTTACCTGATCAAGTACCTGGATTATTGTTTGAATTTTTAAAGTTACGAGAAAGTAATAAAAGATTAAAAATGTAAGTTTGAACGGTCGCTCAAATTCACAGTTAATAAACAGAAACTATTAAGGCATTTTATTAATATCCTTCAAATACAAATGTAATTTACATTCAAAAAGATATTTAATGACCGTTTGAATATCTTCAAATAATATTAATAAGGATACTTACTATATTCGGATAATATGAGTATCCACTGCTTAGAATACTCATTAACATTTTACTAATGAAGTAATAACATATTTAATTTTATAACTTTGACAATGAAATGTTTTCTTCTGTTGTTTTTATATCTATATAAAGTTGTACTTCAAATATAATCAATTATTCCCATGTTACTGCACTATAATTATATGCCAGTCACAATTCATTATTTGCGGCAAAATAAAAATAAAAGCTATGTTTTTAACTTTATCTAATATTTTAAGAGATAAATTTATTCGCAAATTAGGAAGAATAAATATAAACGAGTTACTTTATTTGCAATTTTTATTGTATACAAATTTGTGGATTACAAATCTGAGTCTGTGTTTAATACAGTTTCATATGTTTCTGAGCTACGCACGACTTCTCGTTCTAATATTATCTTTTCTACTTGTGGTGGTAATATCACTCCAGTCAATTTAGATACCATACTTCTTTTTGGTAATCCAATATCCTTTCTTTTACGCTGCGATTTTCTAGTCTTTTGTATTCGCTTTACTGACACGTGTAAGTTCTGAATGTGATTTCTTAACTTTGCTTTTGATGAAATCTTTAGTTTGCATATGTCGCACTCGTACTTCTGTTCTAAATGGTGAACTCGTATATGCTGATCCAAATTTTTTTGAAAGCAATAAACTCGTGGACATTTGTCATACGGACAAGATAAAACTAATCTGTGTTTCATATGAACTTGAAAGTGCATTTTTAAATGAGATTTAGATAGAAATACTTTACCACAATATGTACATTTATGACCTGCAAGTAAAATAATGAATTTAAGGCTTATATTTGATAAAAATTAGTTAACTTCAAAGAATTTATACTGATAAATGCATACTTTTTACATGCTGAGTTTTTAAATGAGCACGAAAAAGTAACCATTTCTCTAAAACTTCATTACACCCTGGCACAGTACATGGATATCGTTTTTCATGAATTTCCCTGTGCCTCTTTAATTTTGGATTACTTATAAAACTTTTGCCACATTTCTCACAGATATATGATACTGAACCATGTGTTGCCATATGTGTAGCAAGCTGGTACTTTTTTGTGAAAGACTCATTACATATTTTACAAGTTAATTTGCCACGGTCATGTTGTGTTCTATAATGGCGCTTTAAATTATGTCGATGAACAATAAACAATGAACACTCTGTACACCTTAAATTAAAGCAAAGTAGAAAGTATGTTTAAACGATAAAATAAATTTTATAAAGAATTATTTACATACTGAAATATAGTTTTTGTTGTATTATGAGTCTCCATATGACGTTTCAAGTGGGAAGAATTTGTATAAGCTTTATCACAGTTTGGATAATTACATTTATGGCTTTTCTAAAAAAAGAAAAAAACAGAAAATGAAAAATTTATTTGTAATTTTTCCAATTATAAAAATATGCACAACTATTATTACCTCTCCAGTGTGAAGTCTGACATGTCTGGCTAATCGGGATGGTCTATAAAAAATTGCTTTACAACCAGGATAAGTGCATTCATGCCTTTTCTGTTTTTTAGCTTGAAAACATATAGTATTAGTATTTTCTATCAAGTCAGTTTCGGAATTTCTATCTTGTCCCATTGTTTCAGATCTCAACCTATAATAATAATTTTCGCTATATAATTATTTATATAATTTATAATTTTGCTAAATATAAATTTTACGTACTACCTTCCTTATACACCAACGCACGTGTTGAAAATCAGCTGTTTAACCAAGCGGTTCATTCGTTTGTCTGTAGGTGGTGTTTGACCAATGAACCGTCATAGTGGAATCAGCTGTTGATGACTTATGTTCAGGAATAAAACTTTTCTTAATAAGTTTCATAGTACAATTGATAACTGATAATGAACTTCAGCGTGATTGAATACGAAATATGTGATATAAATTTACAAAATCATCAAAGTTATTTGATATCTGCGCTTGACATGATTGTATGAAATAAATGGTACATCAAGAGGTTATATTGGGCTACATTCATTTGACAGCATATGAAGGTGAGACTGGATATCAAATTAACACCATATAAATAGATCAAAACTTAATGATATATTATAATATATACAGGCAAAAATATTATTTTCGAGGATTATTTCTATAATGTTGAATCGTGGAATAATACGATGCGTATAAATTTCTGCAAGAGGTTAGATTGTCTTCAATGTTTGGTATTAAATTTTAATTTTGTACAGAGATTCTGAAAAACAATATAAGGATAGAAAGACTGCAAAGTTTGTAATAAAAAAAAAAATAGAAACATGGTTCAAGCAAGAATGATCCTATCTTTAACTTCATTTGTAGTAACTGAAGAAATATTATATATTGTTTTAACTATTTAACAACTTATTGTTACAGGATTATAAAGAAGATAATGGGGCATACACTCAGTGAACCAGTGACCACAAGGAAGTCTGTATACTGTAGAAATTCAAACTATAGAGTTGGAAGTTCATGTATGCAAGGATGGCGTATCAAAATGGAAGACTGTCATGTTCATATACTTTCATTACCAGATGATCCTGGTACTGCATTCTTTGCAGTGTATGATGGGCATGGAGGTGAGAATATAATAAGAAAATAAATGATTCAGCATCATCAATCCATAGTTAACATAAAGCAGACTGAAAAACATACGTTTCAAAAGAAAATTTTAGGTCCTATTATATTTACTTATATTTAAATAGAATATTCTAGTTAATAAGTATAACTGTGATTATGTACTTCTATGCTCACAGAAGTGATAGATAATATTGACAGGTGCAGCAATGGCATTGCATGCAGGGAAACATCTTCATGAATACATAATTAGGAGAAGCGAGTACAAAGCTGGTAATATTGTTCAAGCCATGGAACAAGGTTTTCTAGAATTGGACAAAGCAATGCAACATGATGTGACTCTTAAAGATGAGCAAGCTGGAACTACCGTTATAGCTCTTCTTGTTAAGGATAATATTTTATATAGTGTAAGTTTTTTATAACTTATCATTGAAACTATTAATATTTCTATTCTTGATTTATGAAAATTTAACAGGCAAATGCAGGTGATAGTAGAGCAGTAGCAAGTATTAAGGGTCATGCAGTTCCACTCAGTCGCGACCATAAACCTACATTAAAAGATGAACGTGAAAGAATCGAAGCTGCTGGTGGTTGGGTTGAATTTAATAGAGTTAATGGTCTGCTTTCGTTATCTCGTGCTCTTGGAGACTTTACGTTTAAACGAAATGAACGTAAATCACCACAAGAACAAATCGTGACTGGTAATGTCACGAACAATTAAAAATCAAAGTTCTTACCAAAAACGTTTTATGTGTTATCCTGTATAATTTTTTACTTCCAGCTTTTCCGGAAGTTCAACAGTTTCAAATAACAGAAGATTGGGAATTTGTTGTATTGGCCTGTGATGGTATTTGGGATGTAATGACAAGTAATGAAGTAGTCAATTTTATTAGAGCGCGATTAATGCAGCCAAAGTTTGGGACTGGGCAAGAAAATGACACAATGGATCCCGAAGAGATCTGTGAAGAACTTATACAGCATTGTCTTGCACCAGACCCTTTAATGGGTACTGGATGCGACAATATGACTGTTGTTCTTGTTTGTTTCCTTCACGGAAAACCATATTCTTATTTAATCTCGCGTTGTAGAGAGTCCAGTAGTACAAATCCGTAACTATTTAAATTACTCATATTTTGTATCATCTCCTAAATTTATATTTAATTTTACACCGTAACGAAATAATCATGTTTCATCGAGTATCATATCGCGGCTGAAAAATTCTTAAAATTCTTTTCCGAACTCTTACTTTTTAAAACTATGAATCCAAAATTTTTAACAAATATTTATTTTATACCAATAAAAGTATTTTCTTTTATCAATTATTATCAATATTTCTTATTTAGGATTTTTAATGAAAAAATTACGAGCAAGCTGAATTATAAGTTTTTATTTACAATTTCGAACAATGGACAAGAAGTGTCCAAATATAAGTTTAGTAACAATCTTAATAAAATGCATAAGTTTTCATTCAGAGTCCGTAGCGATCTTGTAAAGAGGAAACAGCCGCATTAGCAAGGGAGCTTAATCTGCCTGCGACCTTGTTTACTCCTTGACGAACACTTTCCCTGACATCATCTAAATCCACTCCTGCTCTTCCGCCACCAAGACGCATTGACAAAGAAGACGTAGGAGATGTTGCCGTAGAACTTCCTGTGCCAAAATAATCAGCTGACGATATACTAGACGAACCTTCGAAACGTCGTAAGTTGCTTTTACGTTCCCACTGTAATAAAATGACAGAACATTCATTTAAACTAAAAAATAAACCTCATACAAAATTATTAGTATGTAAAATAAACGTACAGAATCGTCATCTTTGCTGTCCTGAAAATACTGATCTGAACTAATAGCTTTAGCACTACCAAATTTCTTTTGTGCTTCTCCTTCCAATATTTTATTATCATTCTTATTACTGTTTGGTTTACTCGGCGGAGCTGTTCGTTTTGGTGGTTCTGGCTCTGCAATAACAAGTACTTCCTCATTACGAGATTTATTGTTATTGTTGCTATTATACGGGGTTGATAAGGCCGCATAAAATTCATCTAAACTAATAAAAAGATCTCGTTCAATATCGATTTCTCTTGGCTTTGGTTCAGATGCAGTTATAGTTTTCGATGATGTTTCCTGGGTTATTGTCCGCATGTCACCAACCGCAGAATGACTTGCGCCACTGAAAAGTATATATTCTAATATTATAATTGTGAAGATAGTGCTTCTTTTCTTCAAAAAATACTGTTAGCATAAACAATACAGCATATAAAGAAAATGGAACAAATATTACCTTCGTGTATTAAATCCCATACCAAGACGTTCTGCCTGTGTTGCTTTAGAAGGATCTAAATGTTTTGCTCTCTGTTCGACTTTCTTAGCTTGTTCACTTAAATTCTGTTCGTAACGATATGCAAGACGGGTAGCGATTTCTTCTTCTTCCTCTTTCGTATTTTCTTGGTGATCCTTCTCCTGTAATTCTTTACCAGCTTCAGCAACACTTTTCTCTAATTCATCAAAATTTGTTTTAACTCTCTGAGCACCCAAACCTCCAGCTTTTTTTCCTAACTATTAATGCAATATAAAAATGTATATTTTATTTAACTACAATTGTATTAAACATAGTTGATTAATAAATAAATAATCAGTTGTATACGTACACCAGGTCGTTTAGCTTGAACTTTTCGGCCACCTATGGTAGATTTTCTTTCAGGTATCAAATTCGATGTAGAATCGGATAATTTTACGGTAGGTCCTAAAAAATTAGATGGCATATCTGGCATATCTTTTTGATTATTTTTATCCTCATTGTCATTGTGCGGTATAGAATTAAATAGAGAAATTGAATTTGTCTCGAGAGGTACTGAAGATTCATTATGATGAACTTCAAAGTTTTCATGTTCTTTAAAGAAATCAATTTCACCTTGTTCTTCAGATGTTGATGTTGGACCTTCCTCTAAATGTAACTGAAAAGATTCAATTTTGAAACGTTGTTTCCAAAGTACTATTGAACATAACTTCTTCTGTGTCATATTTCATGTAAATCACACATGTTAAATGAGTTAGTTACACAATAAAATAATTTAATTTATGAGTATAGCAAATAATACAAAATATGTAATAACAATTGAACAATTTTTCGAAAATTGTTCACATTTTTTAAAACTGTTCAAAATACAGAAGTGTTAGTAATTTCATGAGATTTTTTTGGTGTAAGTAGTCTTACAGCTCACCATTGTTTTATTTTTTGTTGAAGGAAGAAAAACCTATAATTATCATATTTTTGATTACAAAATTCTTAACTGTTTCAGAATATGTTCTAAAGTAAGGTGCATGTGTACACATGAAATCATAAAGATTTACCTTTGTTCCATAGTGCCGCATTGCTTGTGCAGATGCCTGTGCCAATTTTTCCCTATATTGCATAGCGGCACGTGAATTGTATTTTTGCTGAGCATCTGTTGTTGTGCAATTGTGCTGTGTAAAATATTTTCTCTAAAAAATAAAATGTAAAAATTACAGTTACTAACAAACAATATTAATAACAATAATGGACTTAATTAATAAACACACTAACAGCATTTGCATTTCCTCCTAACTGCATGTTTCTTAACTGCAACCAAGTCCAATTTGTATCAAGTTGAGTTGATCGAACAAATGTCAAATGAACTCCTAATCCTCTATGAACTGCAGAACAGTCGATGCATAAGAAGACACCGTAAGTTACACTGGACCATGCTGGATTTTTCGCGTTGCAATCGAAGCATGTCTAAAAAAATCCCAATATAATGTTAATATATGCTGTAATAAAAGTTAATTAACCACGCAATCGTAAAATATAAGTGCAATTAACAATTTCAAATTGTGTTTCAGTCCGAAAATCAATGAGTATCGTTAATACTGTTTCCGATCAATTTAATGCAAATCATTTTGAAGCGCATATGATAGGTGTCACAATTAAATGAAAGTTTCCAGGAAAATTACAGGTTGGAAACAAAAATATGATGTGGCTTTCAAATTGTCGTCACGGACAATTCGCATATGTTTATATGATTTTATATTCAGTATTGCAGAATTAAGAAATAAATAACGTAGTGAACCTTATTCGTTGGAATAGCTCGCAATCTTTTAAAAATTTCTTCGATATCACTTTTACTAGGTGCTGGATCTGCCATTTTTGACGTGTTGTCAACGGCCTCGCAAAGTATTCTGGGATTTGACGGGTTTTTACTGGGCACAGAGGTCGCTTTGTTATAATTTAAATCGTTCATACACGAAATAAGTTGTTATGACATATTTAAGTTTTATATTTCAGAAATAATTCACACCTCATCTTAAAAACATTAATAATATTAGGAATTTATTGTAAAGTTTTATCTTACAATAAGTAAATATAAGAAAAATTACAATTGTACGATTATTAAACATATCAAGACTTCTTTTTATCACTCGTATCAGATCGTTGTCCAACACTTGGAGAATCGCTCACATTTACTTCTTCTTCTTCCACTTCTAAGTTATTCAATCTGCAATCATTGGTGTTATAATGTTGTTGCAATTCGATATAATACTTATAAAAACAACTTACTCGTCTTGTTCAAGACTATATAACATTTGAAAGCCAGCATCTAAACTAGGAGGAAAGCCCATTTCGGGATCTAACAACTGAAGGGTCGGTACTTCTCGATATACGTTGCCAAATTCGTCAAGTTCTTCAAATTGTAGTTTATTTGCTGCTTCATCTAAAACCATCCTAAAAATTGAGTATACATTAACAGAAATAAAATGTATTTTTTTGAAAATACTACAGTCATTCCTGTATGATTAAATACTTAGAACTACAAGCATTAAGTTCAAGTTGCCTCTGTTTTTCCATCATTGCTTCGACTTTCTTTTTCATGTTTTCTTCAAATTTTAACACATATTCTTGGTAGTAGTCGTGAAGAGTGGATACATTACCAACGCCGGTTTCTAATAAAACCCTTTCTATTATATCCTACAGAAAAAACATTTATTTATTTTTCTGGTTAGTAGTGGCGATATCTAATAGATTTTATCTTACAGGAAAACCATGATCTTTTTGTTCATATGCAACTTTTATTAAAAGTGTCATTCGTTTTAAAAAATGATCAGCAATATCTGTAAGTGTTTCTATAGCAATATCTGACGACTTTTCAAATCCAATGTGAGCTAGAAGAATAATAACTGCATGTCTCAAAATACACCGTGCTGTTTGTGGTGTGAGGTGATGTATTGTAGAAGAATCTTTAAACATGTTTCTGAAATCATATATCTTGTTAATCAATCATTAAATTATGTGAATGTACAGTCCACATCCAAGTACTAATACCTTTTCTTTTGCATAGGTAAAAAGTGAAATGAATTTTGTGTTTCTTTTCCTTCTTGTGAAGTTTTTGTTTCAATTGTTGTCATATTTCCTAACACCACTCCTTCTTCCTAAAATATATGGAGTATAAACATTATCTGGAATGATTATTAATAATCATTTAAGATTATTACCATCATTCTTAGCTGTTGATGAAGATTAATAGTGTTTAATACATGAAGATTTCCCATAGGTAATCTACAAATAAAAAAAATCTTATGCAATATCTTGTAATTACTTTCATTATTATAAATATTTACTGTATATATTCAGGTTGCCTGTCCATTTGAAAATCACAATCAGTATTGTTTGACTCTTCCATAACTTGCCTCCAGACATTTTCTATGATGTCTGGTGTTATTACTTCTTGTTTCAAGGTTTCTCTTGCTGGCAGTTCTCCCCATAATGAACCTGTTCCACTATTTTTATTAGATTTCATAGTAAGAACTGAAAAAGAAATTAAATATTACATTATTATATGATACTTTGTTATATTATAAAAACTGTTATAGTTGATTATAAAATATTATAGTTTTATACCTTCTTCAAATTTGACTCAATAATATAAACAACATTATAAATTTTCATTAAAACTATATTGGTGTAAAAGTATTTTAATGCAAGTATGCAATATTTTATCTATTTAAAATCCCGCGCACGCACACATACATGACTTACGCATAACCAAACAGTTTGAAACGTCACTGGATTTTGGTTAAAAACCTATAAGCCAACAGTTGTACATTTTAAAAAGGAATTTCAGGTTTGTTTTATACAAATACAAATCATTTATAATTTTGTTTCATACCAAGAAATTTGACATAGACACGATTAAAGTTTAATCATTTGTATGTTTCGTTCGATCCACGTAAACTTAACATTACTATTTATTAGGTTAGGATCATATTATACTTGGGCGCCATAATTCCACTATATCGCATTTAATCACTGGTGCCAATCGAAATGAAATTCGATACATTAGATTAGAGAATCGATTACATTTCAAATGTTTCATCGTAATTTTTAAAACATTATCTATCAGTCGTATACGTCAGGCGTTCGAGTACTTGCGATTTTTATATCAAAAGCTACTGAAATCCAAATATACTTAATAATCTATACCTACTCATGTAGTTTTAAATGAATATTTTAGGTAAATCGTTATTTAGAATATAGATACAATGGAAAGTGCGGCTGCTTCAATTTTAAAACGAGCGGTTGAGATGGACAACAATAAACAATATACAATGGCTTTAGTATTGTATCAAGAAGGTGTACAAATACTTCTTGATTCCATGAAAGGTATTGGTATTACAAATATTATTCTTTTCCGTAATTAAACAATTTAAATTGTTTCTCTCGTTTTATATCATGTTCTATTCCCTTAAATATCTTTACAACCTTATGAATTACTTTAAAAATTAGTAATGAAACAATGCAGAGACAAAGGGTTCAGCTATGCAGAAACATTTTGCTACCAAGGCATCAGAATATTTAGACAGAGCAGAGAAAATAAAGAAATTAATTGAAAGAGAGAAGGCAGCTGGGACTTACAGGGAATTAATCAAAATTGAAAGTGGTAATACAGGATATGGTTATGCAACTGTGTTTGGTAGATTTTTAGATGCAACAGTTACATACATTCATATTGAAGACCCATATATAAGAGCATTTCATCAGGTACTAATATGCAAATATTGATATGTCTGGAGAATTGAACTAATTGTTGTTTTATCTTTAGTGTCAGAATTTGGTGAGACTGTGTGAATTGGCTGTAAGAAAATGTCATGCCTTATCTAAAATATCATTAGTTACAACTCTAGATACAGATGACAAAAAGAATCAAATAGCAAGATTAGAAGAATTGAAAAAAAGTTTAACATCCCATCTTATTTCTTTTGAATTTAAATTTTCGGATACTTTACATGATAGACAAATATTGTAAGAAAATATTTATATTTCTACTTAATGAAATGTATTATATCTTATTCTTATCTCAATTTCGTTTCAGATTAAGTAATGGCTGGATAATTAAAATAGGTCGTGGCCTGGATTATTTTAAAGCACCCGATGGAAAATTTGTACTAGGTGCTTGCGATCTTGAATTGAGACCATGTTTAGAAACGATCATAGATATATTTCATACGGAACATTTAAAAACTGATATTACATAATAGATTATAGGAATAAGAATAAGTAAGAACCAATTTTTTCATATGTTCGTTTATTATATATTGATTCAAATAATACTTGGGAGGACAGTATTAAGCTTCTATTTACACTTTTATCGTATAAATACGGAGCATCTATACAGCTTCAGAGAATATAATTTTACCAATACTTCTAAAGTGTACATGCCTTTCATACTCATCCTAATTTGAGTTCCTGAACAACCTGTGTTAAGGTGATGCGAGCGTCGAAAACTTTACCGACAGACCTTAGAAAAATCCCTAGACGCGAGTTTTCACATATACGTCCTCATTTCTAAACAGAATGCAAAAAAATTTGAGGGACATGTCCAGGAAGCCCTAAAGAATGGTAGTCTGGTCCTTATATTATCCAAATCGTCAAAAGATTATAAAATATTGAAATTTATGTATGTCAACCGTCAAGAAAATGGCGGATCGGACTCACCTGCATCAGTTTATTCGTAATATAAACATTTCTGCCAATAGTTTCTCCAAATGGGTACCAGACTACCATTTTTTGGGTCGGATAGAACAAAACGAGCACCCAAGGGATGATGTACAAGTCTCCAGGAAGAAGTAATTTGAAAATTACGATTTCGTTGACTGTTCATTCGCGAAAGACGTCAACAAGGTAAAACAGACCAGAAATTTAGTTCCTCGTTTATTCTGTAGGGCGCAGTTCGTTCGTTTGATTAATAAACAATTGTAAAATTAAAAATAATAATTAAATTTTTAATAGAATAATTAAACAAAATTTTGCAACATACCCACGCGGAAATGTAAAGAAATAAACAATTTAGATAGATATAACAATAATTTGATTAATAAACAATTGTAAAATATAAAATAATAATTAAACAAATATTAACAAATATCAGATAGAAATAGTTAAATCTGCAGAACCGGTGAAGCGAAACGTCATGCTTGATTGCGCGCGCTGCGCGCCGGTACACGCGCGACCTGTAGAGAGGTCAAATCTAATCAGTCTTATCGCGACCGTCGAAGGATACGGGTCGAGCTGTCAAACATATACCGGTACGGGTTGACACTATGAATATTCGTGCATGGATTTATCAGTGTGTTACCACAACTGTTACTGTGTGTGCCTATGGTGTTTCCTATAGTGTTTCCCATGTTTTGGAATATTTATACGGATATATTAGTGCGACTTATAGTGTGGTCACCCATGTGTTCTGACATTTTTATACAAGTGCATTAGTGTGCTGTGTGGTGTGGTACCCCATGTACCTGCATGTGCTTTATTGTGTTTTATGGTGTGGTTTCCTTTGTGCTTTGGCATATATTTACGGATTTATTAGTGGGTTTTATGGAGTGGTACCCTATGTGTCTTGGCATATTTATACGGATTTATTAGTGGGTTTTATGGAGTAGTACCCTTTGTGTTTTGGCATATTTATACGGATTTATTAGTAGGTTTTATGGATTGGTACCCTATGTGTTTTACTATAATTTTGCAAATATTTTATAGTGTTCTATGGTTTTGATCTTCGAGTGTTTTGGGATGTATTTGCATGTGTTTTACCGTGTTTTATGGTGTAGTTATTCTCATATAATTTTGCATGCATATTTTTGAATTATCCTATGTATTAGCATATTAACTACAACAAATTGAGAGAAAACATATATCGTTCAAGAATCGTGATTTTTATGCTTTCAGATGAGTGCTTTGGCCAGTAGAGATACCGTTTCTTTGACGAGCCAACAGACGAGCTATGGATCAATCTAACAATAAGATGCGTGGCGAGTGCAGTAGTGCAAGTCAACGATCGGTGAGTCGCATGCTTTAAAGTTCCTCCGGTTCCCATCATGTCGTAGGACGAATGGTCCGTAGCGACACGGGAATTGGTTGTAATTTTTATTTTTTGAGCGAGCATAGTGACCCACGAATATCACTGTATTATTTTATACAATGATAATCGTGCAAATTGCTTTTTTGTGTATTTTATGCCTTAGCTCAGGATAGGGTTTTCTTGTACATATTTACATATATAGATTTCGAGTTTAAAAATGTAGAGAAGTCGGATGACCCTCCGACTTCACAATACACTTTCTTTTTTATATGTACAAGAATTTATTTCGCGATGAGCGGATTTCAATATCAAAGTAATAAGCATGATTACTATTAATTATTATAACTACTTACTTTGATAACGAAATCGCTCTTGAAATTGAAACGTTTTTCCAATTTTACTCGTGAAATTGGCATCAGTTTAGTATATGGGCTGGCCCCCAGGGGGATTGGTATTTGCTCTTCAAGCATTGCATAAAGTTTCCCTTTCGTACTTGAAATTCATTCTGTCACGTTCACGGTTCTCGACCCTAAACACTCATCATTCACACTCATCATTCATCAGTATAGTGAAATATTAGCCCGTTAGATGTTTATGTACTAGTCATGTTTTTAGATCAGGATTTTCTATTTTAATTAGTGTTGCGAAAAATTTCCAACGCGAGAGTAAATATGACAATGCACTGACTAGTATTTAGTGGGAATCCTTTTGGTTTTTAAACTCAATCCAATATTTTATTTATTTAATCAAATTAGTTACAAGGATTCCGCGGCATAAGACCGCGAAACACCATCTCATGGGAGATAAACCCATGCATTACTAGGCCTTTGCAGGCGCAGCTTTAGAATACGGAACATATGAAAATATGTTACCATATTCTAAACTGTAGTCCTTTTGTCTATACTATGGGCGTCCGTCAATCTGACACCGTTGGATGCAACGTGTTGGACGGGCGGGTAGCGCTCATAGCGAAGGGGTGCATCCTGTCCTGGCGTTACGACGTCCAGGCGGGGTGGGTGGTATGTAGCGTCGGGCGCAAGTCCAGGGGGCCTAAGAACCTCCGTTGCCAACTAATATTAGCAGTGCACCATGTTTTATGTCATAGTTGCTCAATTTTGCTTTTCTGTATTTGCTCTTCAAGCTTTATATTTGCAAAGTCGAGTCACTTTTATTAAAAATAAACCCCCCTGGGTGGGGGGCCAGCCCATATACTAAATCGGAGCCGTGAAATTTCGCCGATATTCTTACTTTTAATAAAGTGAGAATATCATCTTTAGTTTTTGCTAATCATACGTTTTAGCTTAGGCATTTCAGCACACATGAAGAAAACTGGTAGGTGAAAATACCTTTGGCCTTGTTCATTTTTATGCCCAAAGCTCATTCGGGTACTTAGATGTACTCGTGTGGGTGGAGGGCGGTGGACAAGGTTTAGTTTTAAGTGTAATACATTTTAGCGACTGACAAAAGTAGTGAACCAATAGTGAACCACGATATAAGTTCCACATGTGTGTGTGTGGTTAGGATGTGGGATTTATATCGTTTATTAACAATCTTAACTTACTATAACATTACAAAATACTTATCAAGAATAAATTGAACAATTTTTACATTAGATAATTGAATAGAATACGAAAATGAAATGTATTACTTTAGCATAATGTTCACTATTATTTGTCAGTCGATTTCAGCAAAAAGGTATGATTTTATTAGAGTGTGAAAGTTGAATTGAACTCGGGTGTCGGAGGCGTCCCGGGACGTTCTCTCTAGGTGTAGGCATTTTTGCACCCGGGTGGTTGTATGAGAACCGTGGAGTGAATTTTTGTGAGAATGATTTTTGCCCTTTTTTAAATATAGCGATAGGCAGGCAGGTAGTTTTCTTCTGGTGTGATTGAGTTTAGTTTATAAGTAGGCAGGGCCAGAGCAAGCTTTCATGTTTCTCTTCGTATTCTCCTCTAATACGTGAGAAGCTTGTATCTGGGGTTGGAAATTAAAAAATCGAGAGGAAAAATGAAAATGCAAATTAATTAGTTGATTAATTAATTAATTTAGCATTCTCTCTTGATTTTTTCAAGGCCAAGCCTTATTAGTTTGTAAGTCGTAGTCGTGGTACTAGACCCGATTACAAAAATGAAGTATTAAAGTGAAAGTGCAGTGAAGTGAAGTGAAGTGAAGTGAAATTAAAAAGTGTTTTGTGCTTGGACATTTGCAAAAATTGTACAGGTATGCGAGTAGCGATTCAAGGGATCGTTGTTCGTTTACGTGTTACATTTTTACAAATGTCTGAGCAAACGTAAAATTTTCGCGAGTGATTTTTGTGAGGCTATTGCCGAAGAAAGAAGAGGCTATATGCTGAAGAGCCCCGGCAAAATTTGCCCAGAAGAGGGGAACTACTAATGGCTCTCCATCTTCGGATGGACAGTCATTCTGTCACTATGCTCGCTAATTTGTTTTTTCATTTTTTGTGTTTTTCCTTGAACGGTATGAATAATACCGTCCAGGACGTATTGAACTCGACATTTTACGAGTTCAATACCCAGCTCGTTGAATGGTCAACTCGCGATTTTATTTCCCCTATTTCTTTTTCGTTTATTGCTTTATTGAAATAAATTATTCTTTTCTTATTGATTTGCACATGAATTTGCACTGAGATTATAATGGTAATTATATTTTCTGTTGTCGGCATTTTTCATTTCAATTGTAATCGAAATTATGATGTTAATTATATTTTCTATTTCAGCATTTTATTGTTGAATTATTTTTTAATTGTTACTGAAATTATGATGTTAATTATATTTTCTATTTCAGCATTTTATTGTTGAATTGTTATTTTGTTAATTGTTACAGAAATTATAATGTTAATTATATTTTCTATTTCAGCATTTTATTGTTGAATTGTTATTTTCTCAATTGTTTCTGATATTAGGATGTTAATTATATTTTCTATTTCAGCATTTTATTGTTGAATTGTTATTTTGTTAATTGTTACAGAAATTATAATGTTAATTATATTTTCTATTTCAGCATTTTATTGTTGAATTGTTATTTTCTCAATTGTTTCTGATATTAGGATGTTAATTCTATTTTCTATTTCAAGATTGTATTGTTTAAATTTTTATTTTATGTTGTCTGTTTTGAATGGTTTCACGTTATTGCATATCTAATCCTAATAATTATGTTTTCCGTTACAGCATTTTATTGTTAAATTATTATTATTTTCTCAATTGTTTCTGATATTAGGATGTTAATTTTATTTTCTATTTCAAGATTGTATTGTTTAAATTTTTATTTTATGTTGCCTGTTTTGAATGGTTTCACGTTCTTATGATTTTAGGGTGGGTCACTAACGTAGCCACCTCCACGTGGTGTGACCTGGTAATTGATATCGTTTTCTGAAGATAACTTTTAGAAAGCGATATCAAGCTAAGAGCTACTATAAAAAGATTTATATATTTTTTAATTGGGAAACAATAGTTTAAATTCAGAAAAGTATTTTCGGGATTGCAATATTACCATATAGAACGTATAACTATAGTAATTTTATAGTTCCTGAAAAAGGAACTTGTATGATTTTTGACTAATTACAAATGACTAATTACCTCCTTCTTTTCGAAGTCGGTTAAAAATAAAATAAAAAGAAAGTCACAAAATATGGAATTTAGGAAGAACGAAGTTGTTTGATAGCATGCGATAATTGAGGTGGCGCTTAAATCAGTTTCTGTTCGACCTAATTTTCGATGAAACGTTGACTGTTTTACCGACGCGGAATTCGAAGTTCAGCCTCAACTCGAAAACAGTGTAGCTAGCGTCATCTGACCGTGAAATACTACCGATAAGTAAGTTTTGGTAAATAAATGAATATTATTTAAAAAATAATTCTATATCATATTAGTTTATTGCGATACATACTATTTATAAGTAAATAATTAATATTAAAAATTATACATTGTAGAAGTTCATCGATTAACGTGGCTCTTCTTGTCAGTACATCTTTAACTTAAGGTACTATAATCGCTAGCCTTTGCAATATCAATTTGTTTTGCTGCTCTTCTACACGCTTTCCTCAATGACTTCGTATATTTCAGCAGTCCCGCCTCAATTTGGTCTTCATCTTCCGTAAGAAGATCATCAATTCTGCACGATGGAAGGCAATCCGCGCCTCCGACAGCAACTACTTGCCTCGCAATCTCTGGATCTACGCACAGTCTTGTGAGCGCGGCCGCGGCAGTAATTTCTAAACGTCTGTAAGCGTCTTCTAAGCCCGGGGGTCTCATTCTGAGAAAGGAAACCAACGCGATAGAGGCTCGAGCTTCCGCCAGGTGTGGTCGAGCCTCAGGGATGCGCGCCAGTTCACTGATAAGAGCTGCCACTTGTTCCATCAACCAAACGTTTTTTCCAGTCGACTTTTTAACAGTTTTCAACAATTTCTTTACAGTTCCGTGTTCCAATATCACGAAGGCGCACTTCCTGGACTTGGAGAGATGATTGAACGCAGCTGCGACCAGTAACAATGTTTGCCCGCAATTAGTACTCTCGACTAGACGATTCAAGGAAGGAATTAAGTCTTTTGCAAAAGGTTCCAAGTAAGGTAGACCTAAAGCATTGACCCATGGCGCAGTTATTTGTACGACTAACGCGGTTGCTTCCATTTTTTCTTTCTCAGACATTTTCTCTGCGATTAGCAGATCCGTCAGTATCTCTGGACCTCCGTCTTTAACGAACTGGTGAATCGCCGTGGCAGAAGAACACACGCTTGCCAAAGCCCGTAAAGAAGCTGTAACGAAGTCGATCGACGTCCTTCCAGCGGTGAGGAGAGACGTCAGAAGCGCCCTGATACCTGAACATCTGGTGATGCTACTTCCTGCCCGAGGTCCTGCTAAACCTAGAGCAGTCAGAGCTGCTAAGGAACCTCTAGCTACCGTGGTCTCGTCCTTTGGCGATTCTTCTAACCCTCTGACTATTTTCTCGATATAAAAATCTAAACGAGTATCCACAGCGCTGTCTACGTAATTCTTGATGCTTTCCAGCTGCGACAGTATTCCTTTCAAGCTGGTCTGTTGTATTCTACGAGGAGGCGGTGCACCCAACTCTGAAAGGACGGAAAAGGCATCGTCCTCGATGGCACGTAAAAGTTCTTTCTCCGATCTGCCTCTTTCTAAATGCGACACTTTGCTGAAAAGAAAAAGATATAGTCATTAGTATTTTCTGCATTTCATTTTTCATATGTCTTTCCAGTATACTTACTCAAAAATATATTCGTAATGTTTGTCGAATTGCTCTGCCCTTATCAACAGTTTATTCGCAGCTGCTGTAGCTAAAGAGGACAGAGTCTTCAGGTCGTTCATTTCATCCTTTTCGCTCAATAACTCACGATGTTTCCGTCGTGGCAGAGCTTTACTTTGGAGAGTATTATTACACTCGGTTTCGGTTTCCATCGCGAGATTGCTTAGCCACGCTCTAACCGAAGACGATTGTCTGTAGGTCCTGCAATGTTGGAGGGACTTGGACGTTGACTCGGCCTCGTAAGAGTTCGTCGTTATCGAGGAGTTACCGCTTCTCGGTTCCGCGGCATCCTCTGGTGGTTCGGCTGCGTACAGGAAATCGCCAAGACATTCGTCATCCAACGAGATGGACGTTGGGATTGCTGATGCATCTACTTGATCCTCCTCCGTTCTGCGGATGAAAATAGATCACAGGTAACAATCAATGATTCGACAAGGTACCATTTAGTTGCGACGTACTGACTGTTTCAGAATTTCATATTTCATCTGAACAATAATAATAGCGCAAACAATCGTGTCCGTTGTTCGCGGACCGTGAAATTTATGCAACGCTGATCCATCTCGGGAATCGTTTTAGCCTTCTCGTTGCCAATTAACGAGTCATTAGTCTACGTTGGTTGAGACTGATTCACCAAAATGGATCGATGTCGATCCGATTGAAACGCGCGTATTATTCAATATCACGTTACGTAACTATAAACAACGTTTTCTCAACTTTCAAAATATGCGCTTACTCTTCGATATCGATAATGCTGGTCAAATTCCACTTCTACCGTGCGATTTCCAGCAATCGTTTCCTAACAAATTCCGGAATACCTTTTTTATCTCTGCCAAATAAAGCGTTTACTTAAATATAGCCGACGAAAGCTTTCGAAGAGTGCTGTATCAACGCAGTTATCTATGGTACCCTAATGCTTTAACGACCGCATATTTTGTAGAATTAAGGAATCGCGTAATTGTAGATTTCACAGAAATCTTTTAAAATACGCGGAACGTATCGAGGTGCTTACGAAAAGGCACTGTATCGACGCGAGAATCTACGGTACCTTAATCTTGCCATAACGAGACACGCGTCTCGGCTACTGTCGCCACGACATAGTTAAGGCCTAACCACTGTCCAATTCCAAGGCGCATAACCAGGTGCACGATACCCTTGCGGAACAATCGGCTCGACGAGGAACGGGTACAGGAGCTATAGCTGACTAATCGGCTACCTCCGGAACTAGAATCGTTCTCTCATGGACGTTGATGACTAATCCCATTTCTTTGACTAAGCTACACTCCGTCACCTGCACACGATCCACGCGGTAGCATGAATTCTTCCTACGTTTGCTGTCGTCGCTTCGGACCACGGCCGTGGTTGAGTCAAACCTCGTCTTCGTTCTTTCATTTACGTATTCCTCGTGTGGCACGATGCATTGAATCACGTACGACCGCGTGTAAATCTACTGGGTGTCGAAAAAAAATTATCTCCACCGTATCGTAGATCTATCGCGCTGCAGTTGTTACGTTCTTTTCTTGCGGACGAACGCGGCTCATGAAAAATCGATGGTTAACAATGAGACATATTTAATTACATTCATGGATTATTAAGTTAGTAGAGGAACTTTTCAAAATCCAGTCATCAGTAATTCTCGTGACAATAACGAGTAAAGGAAAATGAAAATGGTAATAAGTTACGCGATCCTCTTTTGTGTCGTACGATTGCTTTGATCAAAGAGCCAAATCTTCCTTGGGTGTAGAATGAATCGTGAATGGAAAACGAAGTTACAGTTAGTCACTTCTTTTTATCATCAGTCAAATGGAAATATCTTTTTATGTAAGTGAGAAAACATGATAGAACGTTACAAAGCAAGTATGTAAATTGATCATCCTTTTTATCCTACTTCCTCGTACTAATACTTCAGTCTCTACGTTTAGTCTTTAAGCTGCTCTAGTAACCAAGTTCAATTTACGTTGCAGATGCTCGACTATGCATTAATCGATGTTAATTGATTATATGTCACGGAATTTTCCTACGCGTTCCATTTACGACGTTAGGAACTTAACGAGTTCCTAAAGGATACTATTGACTTTGCCATTTCCAAGCACGTCGCATGCATATTAATTTAATATATACACGCCTGAATATTAATTGGAAAATTATGCAACCATCATCTTTCTTTGACAATCTTACAAAACAAGTTACCGTCAATTATTTATCTTTCCTGGTTGAGAACTTCAAACACATGGCGTTCTCTGAACAATTATCAAGTTACGTATTGTATAAATTTGTTGATTACGCTTTTCGTCATAAATGAAATGCAAGTCGAGTCGTTTTCATCGCGAGTAGTGTGTATAATGAGTATTTAATATTCTTTGCAATCAGTTGTGCTACTTCCAATGCACCTGGAGAATGATGACCCGCAAACGTGTGCGCACGGCGGTCAACCATCGTACAGGGGTAGATTACAGTTTACGAAACACCAGAGTAATAACACGGGAAGTATTTTACGTATTGCATTCCTATCGCTTGGCTCAGCACGGGGGACATTATCGTGACGATTCGTGTTCTTAAAACATACATTCTTCGCACCTTATCGGCTGCTACGAGGTGCGGCTTGGTTTCAAAGATAATACGTTTAGCGCAGTCTAGCATCTAATAATGCTATAATTTCGTGTTATTATTCATCAGACTTATCATAACAGCATCGTTACCTCTGAATAGTAAAATCAGAATTTACATAATGTATAATTCTAATTATTCGATGATGGATCAGAAAACATTTTGGCATTTGAGATTTTACCAATAGCATAAATAAATCACTGATAAATTATTATTTAGAATCAGTCTTGTGTACTGTATCTGATCCTAATCGATTAACTTCCGCGTTATAATTTCTTATTCAATCTACAGCGTTTCAATTACCTTTGCATTCTCGGCACGCTTCGCGCGGTATACGCATTAAGGACCATTGTATTCCGAGGTAAAATTCGGGAGTCCTTGGGCGTCGAAGTGTACGTAGGATCCGGAAGAGTCTCGTGTTCCAGCCAAGTGGCACCGGCTCGCGAATGTATTCCATGTTTTCGATCTCTCACTCGTTTCCGCCTTCTACGGCGTCGCGGTGTTTCGTTCTCGTATAATTCGGAGCAGTTCGATCGTTCGGAATCGGAGAAGCCAGAATCCAGGCTCCTCAGATCCTGACTCAAAGGACTGCAAGATCGATTTATCGGAACAGCTACATTTTCCTCATCTTCTTTGTCTTCGTCCTTTATATCCATAGTTACCCTGAAAACATATTCGTAAATTATTATTAACATTGCCAATATTTCATAAATGTACGCGCGAATAAAGGCATCGATGTCTCTTGGTAATATCTTGGATCGTAAAACAACGATCAAGAAACGAGTTGATTGGTAAAAAATGTATCGTACGATCCTGTAATTGAAGCAATTAGAATAGCGGTGTCGGCGTGATAAGGAAAAAGCAGATAATGAGCGAGCGAATGCCGTTCGTCATTTCTATCGCAATTTCACTTACGTCTGAGTCATCAGATCGTTTCCTTCGTGAATCGTTGTCGCATGATAGAGGTCCTGCGAATTTTCATTCCCGTTCGGGCAAACCCGAATCGCTGTTACGTTCGCAGTTTCGAACGTGTCGCTTTCGTTGATGCTGGACGATCGTTCTTCCGCTTCCTCTTCGGGTATATCGTGGATGGGTCCATGATTCTGCTTAGACCTGGTGAAATCGTTTCTCGCGACAAAAGGATCTACACTTTCTAGATCCTGCGTAGCCATATGATTCCAGAACACTTTGCTTTGATGTCTCTTGAACGCGCTCATTTTTTATCAATTTTCCACGACCGACTTTTACGTTGATCGAAGTTTAATTCCTTGTACAACCGACGTCGTTAGAGCGAAGATTAGAGAGTTTTGAAAAGTTCACTTTGAAGCTCCCGTGGCAACGACGAGGATGAGCAGCGGAATAACGCGATCGCACGGTAGGGTAGTTTCACGATTCAACAGAGCGAAACGACCCTCCCACAGGTCGCGTGCCAGGAGGACCTTATGGTGTCCGTAACAACCCCCATGGAGAATCCGATCGTTTTTCACGTTTGCGCCGAAAACATTCCTTCGCACTAACGATAAAATTAAGTTTTAAACACTTTTAAACAAATGGCTCTAATTTAAACGCTTGATAGGATCATCACTGTATCGTTTGATGATCGATTTCCAATAACTTTACGAATTCAATGTTTCTACGTTGACCTGTTCTTTAATGGACAAAATCTATAATCAATTGGAAACAAGGTAATCGATCCAAACGTATTGGTGCTTCGCGAACGACTGACTCGAATAGTGCCGCTTCCGACTTCCTCCCGTAAGTCGCGCTACTCTCCCCGCCTCGAGCTCGAAAGCCAACCCGTATAAAAATACAGCTCCTCCCCTTCTCTTTTGTCGCGTCCACGGGGTTGCATACCTTTATACAGTACGTGTACCCCCGTATACCACGGCATATGTGACCCTTGTGTAACCGCCAAAGCGTAACTAGGTGCATTCTACTCGGCGGGGATGCAATGGCGTGAACAGGAACTACGTTCGATTGGTTTTTAAAACCATAGGAGGATTCTTATTAATCGTAGTGTTTTATATGAAGTTGTAATTCAGGATTAATACTGATTAGAATAAACATTAGAAAGGTAGCAAGGCAACAAATGCAACAATACAGTAATAAAAGTAATATTAATAATACGAATGAAAAGAGTAGAAGATTAAGTTGGACAAGCAAATTGAAGTGAAGCTAAGATAATAAAATTAAAAATTAACACTTTGACGATTGCACATATATGCATTTTTACATTATACAGCGCGCACGCCACGAACGACGTCACAAAATCACGCCAATGCTATTTTTAAGGGCCAGGTGTGACTCCCGGTTCCCTATCTCGCACGTGTGTGTACGTGTACACGGGGGGGTCAGGCGCTCCCCTGTAAAAGCTGGCCGAAGAGGCATTTCCACCACCACTGGATCCTGGGGCACGCGTCGCTCGGCACATCTGCGTAAAATACTTCCAGTGATGAGTGTCCCCTGTATACGTGTCTGTGAATGATTCACTTAACCCGTGTTCTATTACGACTTTAATCTTCGATTGGATCCGTTTCGTTCAATTCGCATTTTAATCGTTCGAAGGTCAATGATGCGTTAGCATTCGCATCATTTTGTATCAGTAGATAGGAAATACATACTATTGCTCTCTATTAGAGTAGTTATCTATGAAAATTTATTAAAAATATTAGTATGGATATTTCATTAGATGCTGACATTGAGCTTTACATACCTTACATTTTTATCTATAATGCACGTGTCGGCTATTTAAATTACACTAGCGATTTAAATCATTCGAGTAAAAGTTGCACACAGCTTGACATATTCTTCGCTCGGTCTTCTCTTTGGAAGATTATTTCTCAGAGTGATGATTTCACTCATCGGAATTTCATTGGTAATGGGTGATGTCCAATGTAGATATTTTCGAACGCAGCAATATTGCATTCCGCATAAAATTGTTTGATACTTACGATCGTGTCACAGAATCGATCATTTGGTAATGCACTTTTACCGATCGCGTGGACACAACTTCGATGACTCGCGGAAAGTGAGATTTTATTAACGGTGTCGAACGAAAGAAAGCTCGTATACGACCGTTCATTTACATAAGCAGCACCCGTATACCAAACATATGCATATCTTGTGTGCATGTATTACTACAAAATGATCGAAGTGCGAAGATGTTTGACATTAGTGAAATGTTAAACATGTTACTGTGCGCGCATCTCATGCACATTATTTCTAATGCGAGAAAAATGTGAGAGATTGCACCTGCATGTAAGTACTCCTTCATTATCGATGATACAGACTTTTTGTATTTCGTAACGACTAAATGTCCTGCGGCATTGTCTCGAAACGCTACATATGTGAGGGAACGTCTATACACATCTATACAATTTGTAAAAGCATCAAAGGGTCTGGTCGACCCTATTGTACGTGAAGATCCGTACGAAATGGGGGACAGCTGGGTGCAGGCTGTTATTTAAAGGTGTGCGCGCAAGCGCATTTCTTTTATTGGTCGGTGGGATTTAAATTTCCGAAACAAAGAAATTTAGTACTATCAATCGTTTGTTAGATCAATAAACGAAAGGTACTAGAATTATTATCAAAACGTTTTGAATGGTTCAACGCTGCTACAATTTGATACAATTCGGTACAAAGTTATACGTTCGGTAATAGACAGTCGCTAGGCAGACTAGGCGGTCGTTTAGGGCCCCATAAGACGATTTTGCGTCTAAGTTAATTTTATAAATTTTATTTGAGCTACTTTTTTTTATGCCATATATGTGAAGGGGCCCTTTTTCGGAGCTCACCTTGGACCCCCGAAATCTCAAGACCGGCCCTGGATACATCACAGTACAATTGTTTTAAAAAATGGGAGGCTAAGTGGACAATTTTCTATTACTTTCGAAAACCGCTTCAAATTTCAACGTTGCACAAAACTAGTACTACAACAATTATTTATTCTCTAATGAAATGAGGGCTAATTTCACATATATTACGTTATACTTTTTACGAACCTTAAAAGGAATTAAATTGGGAAGTCGATTGCTCGTTCAGACATGTTGCGCCATCTGCATGAAAGAAAGAAGGTTCTCGGTGTTTTCTGTTGAAACTTAATTATGAATGGTTAATTCTTTTTTCTAGAACCTTAACATTCTTTCTGATTTGTTATAGAGATTCTACATGTTCTCGAGTAACCAATTAAAGAAAAGTCGTAACGGAAAAAAGTGAAGAAAATATATGTTCAGCATTTGAAACGGAAACGCCATCTACGCTCCAATAGATCCTTGCAATTGTGCTTTGCTGTCGAGTTGAAGAAACGTTATTGAATCATAAATTGTGAGCTATCGTTTTTACAGTGATTCAGAATGGTAATTCATCAATTTTAGTTTCCTAGTATATATCGTAAGATGATATTATTGTAATATCATCAGAAATCAAAATAATAATGAACATTCAATACCCGGTTTCATATATGAAGGTGTGACAAATGGCGCACGTGTGTCAATCAAAAGATTTCTTTTATTATTAACGTAATAATTTTTTAAGTCAAACTTAAGCTTACTGGAAATATACTATTACAATTACAAAACTGTATTTCCATCGAATTTTTTATATTTTAGTACTTACATTAAATGTACATTTTAAGTAATAAATTATAATATTAAATATGAAGATGTAATAAATATATAATAATCTGTAATACATGCATTAAATTCTCCTGCAAATTGGTAGCATTGTTAACTAGTAAAAATTTTAATGTTTATACATAGGTTTCCTTGAATCCTGTCAGGATCTTCAAGAATGAAGCAGAAGAAGAAAAGGCAGAAATTGCCAGGTTAAGTTTATTTGTAGGAGCAATAGCCATTGGTGATCTAGTAAAATCAACACTTGGTCCCAAGGGTATGGATAAAGTATTGGTGGCTCATGGTCGATCTGCTGGACAAGTTCAAGTTACCAATGATGGAGCAACTATTCTTAAAAGTGTAGGTGTAGATAATCCTGCAGCCAAAATTTTAGTGGACATGTCTCGTGTACAAGATGATGAAGTTGGAGATGGTACAACATCTGTAACTGTTCTTGGTTTGTATAACAGATAAAGTTTAGATATTCTTGTTTAGTTTAATAATTAGAACTTTTAACACAATTATTTTTAATTTTAGCTTCTGAATTATTAAGAGAAGCAGAGAAATTAATTGATCAAAAAATTCATCCCCAAACTATAATTGCTGGCTGGAGGGAAGCAACTAATGTAGCTCGAAAAGCTTTGCAAAATGCTGCAACTGATAATTCTGCGGATCCTGAACGTTTTTATGAAGATTTAACTAACATTGCTCGTACAACCTTGAGCTCAAAAATTTTAGCTCAACATAAAGAACATTTCAGTGCTCTTGCAGTGAATGCTGTTTTACGTCTTAAGGGATCTGGCAATTTGTCAGCTATTCAAATAATTAAGAAACGTGGAGGAACTCTAGGTGATTCCTACCTTGATGATGGATTCTTACTGGATAAGAAACCTGGAATGCATCAACCGCAAAGAGTAACTGATGCGCGTATACTTATAGCTAACACTCCAATGGATACAGATAAAATCAAGGTAAGTATAAGATATAAATGTTTAATATATTAGTTAATAAAACTAATATAATCGTTTATTTTTAGGTTTTTGGATCAAGAGTTCGAGTTGATTCGATGGCGAAAATTGCAGAATTGGAAGCAGCGGAAAAAGAAAAAATGAAGGTAATATACTACAAATTAGTTATCATATATATAAAGTTTTATTCAATTATTAACAATCATTTGATAATTATCCTCGGTTCAGGACAAAGTTGAGAAAATTATAAAACATGGCTCCAACGTTTTCGTTAATAGACAGTTAATTTATAATTATCCTGAACAATTGTTTGCCGATGCTAATATTATGGCTATTGAGCATGCTGACTTCGATGGTATCGAAAGACTTGCACTTGTCACCGGCGGAGAAATAGTCAGTACTTTTGATAATCCTGAAATGGTGAAACTTGGAAAATGTGATCTTATTGAACCGGTATGTTGTACACTTTAATTAAAGCCATACACTGCTGCTATTAAACATTCATTGTTTTTTTCGTTTAGGTAATGGTGGGTGAAGATACTTTGCTTAAATTTTCGGGAGTTCCTTTGGGAGAAGCTTGTACAGTCATAATCAGAGGCGCTACTCAACAAATTGTTGACGAAGCAGAAAGATCTCTGCACGATGCTCTTTGCGTATTATCAGCTACCGTACGCGAATCTAGAATTGTTTATGGCGGTGGATGCAGTGAAATGATAATGGCTTTGGCTGTCATGAGAGCAGCAGCCGCTACTCCTGGAAAAGAAGCAGTTGCAATGGAATCGTTTGCTCGAGCATTGCAACAATTACCTACTGTCATTGCGGATAATGCTGGTTACGATTCGGCTCAGTTAGTCAGCCAACTAAGAGCTGCACATAATTCTGGTGCAGTTACGATGGGTCTCGGTATGTTAACATGTTACTGACATTTCTTCTTTGCAGAAATAATTAATTATTCTTGTTTCTACATTAACAGATATGGAACAAGGAAAGATTAGTTGCATGAAAAAGTTAGGTGTAATTGAATCTTGGGCTGTGAAGAGACAAGTTTTACTTAGCGCAGCTGAAGCAGCAGAAATGATATTGCGCGTAGATGATATCTTACGAGCAGCACCGAGAAAGCGCGTCAGAGATCGTGGACGTTGTTAAATACACAAAGAGATCATTTACTGCTTTAATTTTTTCGCACTGCTTTTCCATTATGTGAATTATGGTCAGATTTATAAACAACTTTAGCTTCAAGTATTATCCATTTTGTTAATAATATTAATTGCAAACTTTTAATTAGTGTCAGAACACTAATTATTTTTTATTGTTGTAATATGTACCGTCATTTTTACATTAAAAATATTTAATTCAAAAAGGAAGTAGGGGATACATAAAACAGACAGAATAACTTGTGATCATCATTTTTTATAACAAAACAACAAATATAACATCAATAAATGCTTGATACCTTGGACCTACATACTATTTCGCACTAAAATTTTGCAGTGGCAACATATTCTATACAAAATTAAAAATTGTAATGAAAAATTAATGATATTTATAGCAAGTATGGAATTATAAAATATAAAAGTAATTATTCCTTTTCTTTAATCGTTTAATTACCTAATTTTTTAGAGAAACGTTCATATTTGTAATCGATGTATTTTAATATTTTATTATAAGCAGTTCTTCCTTAAAGTATAGTACACATTTTTCTCCCAAATAGTACATAAAAATACTACGTATTATTTTTTATACAGTTAAATATTGCTTTTAAATATTTTTGTGTACAATATACTAAATAACATAACTTCAAACTTCATAAATATTAAAGTATAAACAGCCACTATACATTTGTCTGTATCAACCAATTTGTGGTAGATACAAAATAATAGAATGTTGTGTCCGTAAGATTAAAATTATAGGTTCCATTTAACGAGTTATATTGATAAGCCAAATGCAATCTCTACACTTCAATTCAACAAAAAATTTGTTGCTTCAATATGCAAACCGTAATTTTTGATCGTAACCCAGTTTATCAAGATTAGGATTACAAGCAAAGTTGATCATCGGAGGTGGCCCGCACATCAGTACGATTGTATCAGGCGATGGAGGGAACATGTGTTCTTTTATCATTTCTGCATTTAAATGACCTGTACTGTACGGCCAGTTTTCACTACTGGTATCTAAGGTATACCAAAGTTTCAATTTGTCAGGATGATCTTTTGCAATCTGATCTAATTCATTTCTAAGTAATATGTCTTTTTCTGTTTGATTAGCAAAAAGTAAAGAAGCCTGAGTTTCATCTGTAGGATCCTTTACTATTGCCCGAATTAACTGCAACATAGGTGTAATCCCTGTTCCACCAGCTAACATCACAACCTACATTAAAACAAAAACAATATATTTATAGTTTAGAAACTTTAGATGTACATGTAAGTACAAATATAAATTTAGCGCGAATACCTTTTTAACATTATATTCTACAGGTGGATCTTTTCTCAAAATTTTTATGGAAAACTTTCCATGCCCTTTGTAGATTAGTCTACCAGAAGGTCCCCTAAAATCAATTGTCTCTCCAATCTTTAAATTGTCTAAGTATTGAGATAATTTTCCTCCTTCAGGAAATTTTGGATGAACATTTTTGAAATATACCTGAAAATATGTTTTTCATGTAAAGTTTGTTTATTAAGGTATACTTAATGTACTCACCTTAATAACAAGATCTACATAACCATGATCATCATCACTTGAAACAGGTGTATAAGAACGTATGACTGCATCTTCTCCAATCTTTGCTGTTAAATGTACATGTTGACCAATTGGTAATCCTAGTACATGATCCGGTGTTGGTAAACCAAATCTAAATTTTCTTGTATCATGGCTTATTATTTCCTTTTCAATTAAAGGTAAACTATATTTAACAACTGGGTCAACCAATAAAACTGGAGACTTCTTTTTCTTTTCACCGCTCCAAGATTTATAAAATTTGAATGCTAATCCTATTACAACTACAGTTCCCACAGCAGCCAATACCGGTAGAGCCTAAAAAAAATATGCAAAGATTAAGAATTAAAAATAAAAAGGATGATTTCTTGACTGCTGACTTATGATATGAGATAATAACCAGAAACTGATAAGAATAGTGAGTGATTTTTCAAATCATATAAATGTAAGTAAGATATGAAAATCTTATATCATGAATATTACATTTAATTCTAATAACTAGTACAGCATGTCAGTTTGATAAGATTTTCCAAAAATAGAAGCAAAAATAACAGTTGAAAATCTTTATTAACAAAATTTATGAATTTTACAGTTAAATGAAACAATTATATGAAATATACATGTCATCTTACAAATATTACCCATATGCCTTTTATACTTAAACTACTATCTTAAAACATATTTACACAAATGTATAATGAAAAAATTATATGTTAATACATGAAATGATTTCTCGGGGAGGTTATTCACAAACAATACGAAAATCAAAGTAGATGATTGATTTTTTCAATATTAACAATTAATTCAAAAAACAAACCATCGTTAGTTTTAAATTTGCTCTTTTTTTATTTTAACTTACCAACGATCGTAAGTTTGGCATTGTAAATCAACTTGCACGTGGTTAGACCTCTGAGAAAGAATGCTGAGAACGAGGCTAAGGTCGTAACCACACGAGGAATTGGTGGGATAAATAAAAAAAAAATTCCACAAGACGGATGAGTAATAGTCTTAAAAATATACACTGATTAAAAAAATTAATAAGAACGTCTTCGGTTTATACCGGCTTCAAAGAAATTTTTAGGCGCACACCTTGAGAAATCGCCGGCTTCTACATGGGGTCAGATACAGGGCGCTACCCTTTAAAATAGATCTTACTTCCCTCGATCTAAGAACAGTACTACTATTTCAATGTATGTATTTTTAGCTATATTACCGGAGGTATTACAAATGTGGAGTATTATATGTAATTATTATACATACATTGCATAGATAATACACTAAAAGGGGTGTCTTGTATCCCATTATTAACTAAAAAAACTATACAATGTCAGCAAATATATGTATGCAAAGTACATTGTACTAATTACATTTAATTATACTGTAGAATGTTTCAAACAATTATAGAAACATTATCAGTAACAGGAATATTTTAATCAATTAATTGACAGTTTTGTTGTCAATTTATAAGTGTCCAATAATTATCAAATCGCATTGTTAAAACATCGAATACATTTTCGTTACATTTAAACAATAAATGGTCTATTTCCGGCGTTCAAGCAATTATACGCTCAATGAAGTACACGCTATATTTACATATTTATGAGATCAATCATCAAAAGGAAATGATCCGCGTCTAATGAATACATTTGGTTTAATTATAGTCATTTTCATCCTTTCTTCGCGAGTTGGATAGTAAAATAACTTTATCATTTATATACTAAGATTTTCATTTCTTTGTGAGATGAAATAAATAAAATATACGTACGTGAGAATTATTCGATGAGGTGTTATTCATTTGTTCATTCATTATAGTTATTGTAATACCTAGATCACTATATTTGTAAACATCAAAAACATAACACTCGATAACCACCTGTTACACCATTTAAATCCCAAAGGCGTAAGTTTAATTGTAAACGATTAATCAATAAAAAATCCATATAAATTACATAACAGAAAAATCGTTATGCACACGTTCCAGAATCTGTCGCTGGACTGAATGATTGTCCAACTCTTAAGACTGATATTTTTCTACTGGGTGATGTAATGATGATATTGTAATGATACTGATTACAAATATATTTGCCATAGTATTTTGTACAAAATTTGTATTCAGTGTATGCAAATGAAAACAAAGTATTTCTAAGAGATATACGAAAAGATATAGTTACGTATACTAATTTACATTAGTTTATGATGATTTTAATAAAAGCGATGTTATTACAAGGATAACAGTACAAATCATGCACGTGTAATACTTTGATAAACATTTTATTAAGAAAATAAAAAATAAGGAAATTGTTGTTTTGTAGCGGTATTTTATATAATCATAAAAAATTTATATCTTTGATTAATTTGATATAAAATAAAATAAACATATAACCCGACAGAAAATAGGTTTTCTTTGTACACCTTATATAAAAGGCATGCGTATGTACATGATAATAGGTACATATTACAAAGGTTGTAAAATGCATTTTCATTCAAGTTACATCACAAATCCTTTGATAACTGTTTGTAACAATTAAATACGGTATTATATTACAAATTAATAAATACATTTGAACAATGTTTTACAGTTTCTATGAAACTAATTAATCATAATTAATATGATTTTCATTTGTGTTTGATTATATCATTGCTATCAGATAATGCATTTTATGCTTATAAGTAATTATAACAGTTGTAATATATAGTTATTGTAATATATAATTAATGAGAGTAAATATATACTTCGCTAGAAAAAGTGAAATAAAAGGGGACTTCGGCCGAGGCCCAGAAGAGGGATACAATCATAAATGTTATTCCCCTTTGATGAGCTTATTTAATAAGCAACGAAAATATATAAGGTAAATTAAATAAACTCCGGAAAGAAATTAGAGCATGATTATTATACTGGTTGGGCCCTCTACGTACGTCGTACGGGCCTGATTTCATCTTGGGGTTTCAGGGACCCCAATGCATCGGTGGCGCTCTCTGCATACAGATTTGATATCATCTGGGGTGTCAGAGACCCCAGTGACTCTCTGCGCACGCGCACCGACAAAATATCATCTGGGGTGTCAGAGACCCCAGTGACTCTCTGCGCACGCGCACCGACAAAATATCATCTGGGGTGTCAGAGACCCCAGTGACTCTCTGCGCACGCGCACCGACAAATTATCATCTGGGGTGTCAGAGACCCCAGTGACTCTCTGCGCACGCGCACCGACAAAATATCATCTGGGGTGTCAGAGACCCCAGTGACTCTCTGCGCGCGCGCACCGACAAAATATCATCTGGGGTGTCAGAGACCCCAGTGACTCTCTGCGCGCGCGCATTCACAAAATATCATCTGGGGTGTCAGAGACCCCAGTGGCTCTCTGCGCACGCGCATCGACAAAATATCATCTGGGGTGTCAGGGACCCCGGTGACTCTCTGCGCGTGCGCACCGACAAAATATCATCTGGGGTATCAGGGACCCCCGTTACTCTCTGCACGCGCGCACCGATAAAATATCATCTGGGGTGTCAGGGACCCCGGTGACTGTGCGCACCGACCTGTCATCTTGGGGTGTCAGGGACCCCCGATGTATAAAGCATGTCTCTAACCCTAGTAGTTCTCATGTTGAAAAATGACACGACGAACGCTTTACACTTTATATATGCATATATATATATATATACATACATTTATTTAGATATCGTAGCGACATCTCAGGAATTCTTACATTTTATAGGTTAATTGATAGCATAGGTTAGGTATATTGAACATTGATGTAAACAAATTGGCGAAATAGCAATATGATCGTATAGTTTTTTGTGATCACGTTTTATCTCGTGATTTTTGACGCATTTAATGTTATATCTCAATGGCAGTTTTACATCGTGCATTATTTACTTGGTTCAATCTTTTAATTTTCTTGATTTTACTTGTTATAAGACTTGATCAGAGAATACAATGGAATTGGTTTATAGTTTTCATTCCGATGTGGTTGTACGATCAGATACTTTTGATTTACATTGTTTTTAATATGGTATCTCATTTCAAAAATGGACTTGTTGTTAATTTACGTCGGGAAGTAAGTTGAACCAGAATATTTATTATGTTTTATGGAAACTGAAGATGCTCTCTTTTTAGGCATGGTACATGACAGCTGTATTTATGAAATTAACTGCTCAAATTTTAATATGTTTAAAATTGGAAGCTTCTCATTGGTTTTTACCAGCAAAAATTGTTCTGGCACCATTCTGGGTTCTTCTTCCAGCATTGGCAGTTGATGTTTTTGTACATCTTATTCAACATGACCAGTATTGACAATGGCAAGTCACATTTAATTACACATATGCAACACTTATTGAACTTTATATGAACATAATGTTATATGAAAATTAATTACATAAAAACAATTTTATTTAAAATAGTTAAGATAGACTACTATACATTTCATACATTTAAAAGATTTTCTAATTGATTTCATCATTTTGCTCATGAACCTTTAAAATTTTCATTCATAATTTAAAAGTATATCTGAATGTGGTACAGTAGTTTGTTACATAATAATTGATGAATACAACATGTATAAATACTACCTTGACTGTAGGTTTTATCTTACATATCAATGCTTTTCAAGTAATTAAGATGAAGAAACGTATACTACACTTTCAGACATGGCAGTCACAAGATGCCAGTGTAGCTTACTATAAATACTTTATTGCACAAGGATGAATAGGACAAAGATATAAATAAGTAACTCTACTGTAGCTTCATTATTAAAGCTTTTCTGATTAGTCTATGAGATTGTTATCATCTAGAAACAGTGATTTTGATTACTTAGTATAAATTTATTATTTAGTATTCAAGTGGAAAATAAGAAATAGTGAAAGACTATACAGAGTCTACATAGAATTATCTTTGTAGTTATGCAATATGATACACTGACAAGTGCCTTCTGCTTGTACTGTCTATAGAATAATTGTTCTTGCACCCATCTGTCACGTTTACAACCAACTGTACTCTATTGAAATTCTTCTTAAAGGTGATCAATGTAATTAGAATGTAATTGTTGTATTATCAAACAAGATGCTAACAAAACAAAATTATATTGCTCAGTTAGTAGTGAAACAAGTTCTGTGCCACAGTTGCCTAGTACTTTTACATTTTCTGCAATTGAACACTTTATTGATACAAGTGTAAAAGTGATAAATTTGTAAAGTGAGTGCAATTAAAATAACTTGAAACAATAACAATTTGAAAGTAACATATTTAGATATTTCACATTATTTGAGAAAGAGGATATAAATAATGCAACAGGTAGAACCATGAAAGATTTTTTTAATGTATTAAACATGTATACATATGCATAAGCTAACAAATTAACAAAATTAACACTAAGTTTTTAAAAATCAAGTTAAAAATGATAAAAATTAGATAAACATTATAAATACTTCTCTGATTTTATTTTATAGATGAGCATAAAATGTTTTCTACTTTTGTATTCATTACTGTTCTTATTGAAAAATGGAGTTCATGGAGTAGTTACAGTAACGGAAGTTCCGGCTGGTCATTTAGCTGAACTTCCATGTTTAAGTAGTGATGATTATCATCGTTTTATGTTTTGGCAACTTACCGATGACAATCGTATTATCGGGCCTGGAAACCCTATGGATGAAAATAAATACGATTATGAAGTGTTAACAGGAAAACTTATGATAAAGGTAATTTGCTTGTATCCTTTTGGTAATATTATATTAATAAATTGTTTGTTATCGACAGGGTGTGTCAACTGCTGAATCTGGTTTTTATAAGTGTGTTTCAAAAGGTGTATCAGATCAATCTGCCATTAATATTCACGTTGTTGAATTAATTGTGAAAAAAGATTGGGAAGATGTTTGGGAAAACGATTTTGAGGTATATTAAAATATTTTAGTTTAATAAACGCACATTGACATAAAAATATATGTTTGTTATTTGTTTTAACCATGCCTTCTTTTGTGCAGACAAATTTGTTACGAGGAATGACTGCGGTTATGGTAGTAGTTGTTGGCTTAGCTGTTGTTCTTTTTATTATTACAACAAAAAGAAGACGAAACCGTAAATTTTTTGGTAATCATTTATAAAAATTGTATATAATTGGAAATTGAACAGAATGATCACATTATTATGTTTTATTAATATTAAATTATTATTATTATAGATTTGGAAGAATCCAGAGAAAATTCTCCTGCAAAATACACACCAAATGTTATGGCTCGTCCGACAGCGCCTTCACCAATACCAGAAGATGGTGGTATCGATAACGAAGCCCTTGATATTGACTTCCCAAAAGTATTCAACCAGATGCAGAAGTAACAAATAGTTTTTTGAGATGTGAAAAATAATTTTTTATAATAGATTCACGCAATCATATTCGTGCATAATCAATACAGCTTTTCAATTGTGACATAAAGACATGACATACATAATCATTTCTTAAATAAGAAATATTAACTATTGGTTTTTAAACAAAAATTCATTATTGTACTTATATTTATACTTGAATAAATATTTATTAAATGTCAGATTGTAATATTTAAATATTGTAATAAGAACGTAATCATTACCTCGTTACTTTTATGGTTTTATTGTGAGCTAGTTGTAGGTTTTTCATGCGTGGTATCCAACATACTATCGTTAACTCCATCTTCTTCGTCTACTTCGTCTTCCTCATCTTCAGGTTCAACTTCAGTTTCTAATAATCTTATTTTTCTATTGCTTTCATTTAAAATAGCGGCAACTTTTCGCGCACCACTCACTGCTATTCGCCTAGCAGAAATACCTTGAAAAGGCCGAGGCCAGTTGTTACCTATAAGGTCAGCCAGACTAACTGCATTTTTATCTTGATTTTCAAAAATTTCAGGGTACTTTAATGGTAGTTGTATCAGAAATGATGCGTGATTATGTTTGTTTAGTAACAATAAACTTAGATATTCCTGAGAATAAAACTGTAAATCAATTACAGTCCCATCTATACAAGCTTTAGAGTAGGATTCTGATAAAATAAAATTTGTTATTAATATTAGTTTGATAAATTACATTGTTAGATGTATTCATAATAAATCAACAAACCTGATCTATGATCTACATCAATTGTACCCAATTTAAAGTTGAGGGAGATATGCTCTGTATGTGAACATTCAATTCTAAATAGTCGTAATACTTTATGATCCATATCACATGTAGCTACAAGTAAACCATCATTATTTGTTGCAATTTGGGATGATGTAAACGATACGGACGGAGTCAAAGCGATAGTGGTGACAGTGAAATGTTCAACTAAGCCTTGGTAAGCCTCACGGAAAACATTATGTATCGCGGAAATTAATTTTGCATGGGATTGTAACAAGGAGAAATTAAGATCCTGTTTTATGATAAGCGGATGATCACGAAGACAATGATTTTCACTGAGCATTGCTGTCCATTCGCTTCCTTCGGGTGTCAAACAAGTTTGTAAATTTTCACGTCGTAAATATTGGCCTAATTTTTCTAAATTCACTCCTTTTCTCCCTCCAACACCTGGTTCAGTTTTATCAAAACCACGTAGAAATTCCGCAATAAATGTTAGCTCTTGTTGACTAACGCGACTTACTTCCGGCGGTATTCTTTCGTCCGTTAATCTTAGTATTACGACATACAACCACCTTGAAAAATAAACTTAAATAATGAAAATATTTTTAATAGACATTTTAATTTGAAGATCATACCGGAAAAACGCTTTATAGTCGCGCATACTATGATCTATTACTTGTTGAATTTCGGATGATTTTGCTAGGAAAGCTTCTGATGCATGAAGAGCATTAGTTATAATACTTTCATTGGCAAATCCTAGTAATTCATATGGACCACCTAATCTCACCATTCCTCTCATTTCAGCCAGCTGATACACTAAAGCCATTCCAACATTTGTTAAATTTTTTAAGACTAATTTCTGTAAAATGATAGTAGATCAATATGACATATATTAATAGAAGCCTCAACTAGTACATTATTACCTGTATATTACTGTAGCACATTTCAATACTGTGTCCCAACTTTTTTAATCCTTTTTCGGTCAAATCTCGTAACAAAAAGCTTTCTAAGTTTGGGGTTGGTATACCGATCATTAATAATTCTAGAAAATCTGCAGCAACCCCGCCAGGTGGATTTGTTTCTGCATATCGTGCGAGCTTTTCATCCATTTCAAGAAGAATTGTTTCCCATGCTTCTGAGATTGCCATTAATGTACGTGAAAGATAATCCATCAAATATTCTATGTTTGCTTGAGCTTGTGCTACCTCAGATTTAAATAATAAATTGGTAGAAATTTAATATTTCTTTTAATTAAAATTACAAAGTGTACTATGCAAAGAACCTTAAAAAATGCTGTGCTTTGCTCTAACAATGGACACCATAATCTACATGCTTTGATGCCGCCATTGTCTTTCCATGTGACCCACATAGGTTTACCAAATCCACCACTAATTTCTAATATTCTATCTTGACCAACTGAAATTGTACCACAATAGAACATTCCAAATACATACATTGCAACGCTTCCATTGTCTAATCCAAGCTGGAAACATCTGAATATTTTTAACATATACAAAGTTAACATGAAAAATCATTAATGCATTTCCTATCAACCTACAAAAAGTACATCTAATGTTTGAGATAAGAATTCCTTGCGTTCTGGTTCTTGTCCAAAACTTCTATTCAAACTAGGTAAAGGTGGAAGATATTCTCCTGTTGGCAGCATGTTTGGTTTATTTCCATTTAACACAGTATCGCTTTCCAAATTTGTTAATGGTAGCCATGTCATACATGTAATTTCATTGTGCAATGCAAGCTTTGTTCTCTGAATAATGTTTTTATTTTCAATATCCACTAAACAGATTACTTTGGAAGTTTCATAACAAACGGCAAGAAATTTTCCATCTGGTCTCCATGCTAAGTTAACTACGCTATCTGCTTCTTCTTGAGGGCTTAATAGCCAAACCCTTTGCCATGTTAATCTATGCAATGTAACTTCTCCTGTAACAATCATATTTGTAAAATAATCTATTGTTTACCGGTTTAAAAACCTAACCTTTTATGTTAGCAATTGCTAAGAGATCCATTTTTGGTGACCATTGCATTCTTGTTACTTCAGCTGGAAGCTGTCGTTCTTCTAATTGCCTCACACTACCTGCCATCTCTACAATTCTAATTAAAATTTATGTCACAATAGTATTCCATACCACATAATCAAATATTGCAATTATAAAACACTGTAGTGACTACGTGACTACAGATACAAAAACATCAGGACTTTAGGGAGTCTCAGATACTTTCAGATGGAGTTAGGTCTGCATGTAGATACCACAGTCGGTATAATTATCATGTGATAATAAACAACTAAGCATAATTAATTGTCGATGAAAATGAATCTTTCTGTCCTTGACGGCCTCATCTGGCGGTGCATTTATAAATTAGTAGCTTCGCGCAGAAACACGTCAGTCTGTCTTCGGACGTCAAAGAGGTAGGAGGGTGTACTCGAGCATACTCAATCCTATATCTCCCACATTCCAGGATCCCTTACGGCTTTTCTTACATCTCTGCATCCTTTACATCCCTCCATCTCTTATAGCTCTGCATTCCTTATATCCCTGCTTTCTTTATATCCCCGAATCCCATACAACCTTACTTTCCTTATTCCCCCATTCCTTACATACTTGCGCCCTTTATATCCCTGCATATTTTACATCCTTGCTTCATTTAAATCCCTGCACCAGAAAGTGAAAGATGGTGTCAAATTTAGTTCCAAATTTCACCACCAGGGGGCGCTAATTCGATATCGAAAATTTAGTTCCAATTTTTGCCGCCAGAGGGACAAAATTTCAACATGCTTTAGTTCCTTTTTCTGACACCAGAGGGAGCTGATTCAACATCGAAAATTTAGTTCCAATTTTTGCCGCCAGAGGGACAAAATTTCAACATGCTTTAGTTTCTTTTTCTGACACCAGAGGGCGCTGATTCAACATAGAAAATTTAGTTCCCATTTTTGCCGCCAGAGGGCCAAAATTTCAGCATGCTTTAGTTTCTTTTTCTGACACCAGAGGGCGCTGATTCAACATAGAAAATTTAGTTCCAATTTTTGCCGCCAGAGGGCCAAAATTTCAGCATGCTTTAGTTTCTTTTTCTGACACCAGAGGGCGCTGATTCAACATAGAAAATTTAGTTCCAATTTTTGCCGCCAGAGGGCCAAAATTTCAGCATGCTTTAGTTCCTTTTTCTGTCCCCAGAGGGCGCTGATTCGACATGATTTGACATGTACGGGATGTAAGGGATGCAGGGACGTAAGGGATGTAAGGGATGTAAAGGATGCAGGGATATAAGGGATGTAAGAGATGTAAGGGATGTAAAGGATGCAGGGATGTAAGCGATGTAAGTGATGTAAAGGATGCAGGGATGTAAGCGATGTAAGTGATGTAATGGATGCAGGGATCTAAGGGATGTAAAGGATGCAGACATGTAAGGGATGTAAAGGATGCAGGGATGTGAGGGATGTAAAAGATGCAGGGATGTAAGGGATGTAAAAGATGCAGGAATGTAAGGGATGTATGGGATGTAAAGGATGCAGGGATGTGAGGGATGTAAAAGATGCAGGGATGTAAGGGATGTAAGGGATGTAAGGGATGTAAGGGATGTAAGGGATGTAAAGGATGCAGGGGTGTAAGGGATGTAAAGGATGCAGGGTAGTGAGGGATGTAAGGGATGTAAAGGATACAGGGGTGTAAGGGATGTAAAGGATGCAGGGTAGTGAGGGATGTAAGGGATGTAAAGGATGCAGGAGTGTAAGGGATGTAAAGGATGCAGGGATGTAAGGGATGTAAGGGATGTAAAGGATGCAGGGATGTAAGGGATGTAAGGGATGTAAGGGATGTAAAGGATGCAGGGATGTAAGGGATGTAAAGGATGCAGGGGTGTAAGGGATGTAAAGGATGCAGGGATGTGAGGGATGTAAGGGATGTAAGGGATGTAAAGGATGCAGGGATGTGAGGGATGTAAAGGATGCAGGGATGTACGGGATGTAATGGGCTTCTACTTGTAAATTGCTCGTAGTATCATACCTAGTGACGGCGACACCTTCCCCTCCTCCGGCTTAGATCGTCATTTTCCCTAGAGGGATGTTAAGTATGCTCGAGGGTGTACAGGAAACACCCTCCTATGTCTTTGACGTCCGAAGACAGACTGACTGACGCGTTTCTGCGCGAAGTTACTAATTTATAAATGCCGCCGCCAGATGATACTAGTGGTGCTATTTTCGAAGCGCGCAATGATAATAAAATAAAAAAAAGATACGACGAACCTTAGTTAAACGAAGCTTTGTTCGCAAACAATAGATAATACCACGATTTAGTTTTTAAGTATCAAACAGTACTTATTATAAACGCATCTGAATGAATTTTATGAAACTTTTACAAATATATATAAAATTTCCTAAAATGATTGTTTTATTGTTTTATATATACATAAGTTGTATATCACTATCACAGACTGCTGAAAATATAGTATTAGTTGTTACTGATGATTTGGATATATTTCTTGATGGAATGGTAAATATGAAAACATAAATAAATAGTCTGTAAAATGATTGATACACAAATTTTAAGAATTATTTATTTCAGACACCAATGACAAATACATTGAATTTAATTGGAAAACAAGGAGCAACATTTACAAATTGTGTAGGTTTTTAAAAATTGTATTTTAATTAAGTTTATTATGTATAATTGAATTTAATTGAAGATATTTCCTTCAACAATTATATAGTTTGTTGCTACACCTGTTTGCTGCCCAAATAGAGCTTCTATTTTAACTGGCAAATATCAACATAATCATTTGGTACTAAACAATTCTATTTCTGGCGGTTGCAATAGCATTCAATGGCAAAGACTGCAAGAACCAAATACCTTTGGAGCACACTTAAAAAGGGAGATGTTGTACACAACTTTTTATGCAGGGAAATATTTAAATCAGGTGAATATACACAAAATATTAATTCAGAAAATATAATTAATTTTACCTAATATGGAGGAATAAAATTGTGTTGGAATATGTATATAGTATGGGGGCCATGCAGTGGGTGGAACTGCTCACGTGCCAGAAGGATGGGACTGGTGGGCTGGTCTTGTTGGTAATTCAAGATATTATAATTACTCTTTATCCATAAATGGAACCGAGAAGAAGTTTGGTGATAAACCAAATGAATATCTGACAGATGTAATTGTAAGTGTAAAATTGTACTAATTGTTTATGTTCTTGTTATTATATATGTACAACATTTTCTTGCAGAATGATTTGGCAATGGAATTTCTTAAAACTCGTAATGTAGATAATCAACCATTTCTAATGGTTCTAACACCACCTGCACCTCATGCACCTTTTACACCAGCAGTGAGACATACTGATAAATATAAAGATGTAAAAGCTAAAAGAACACCTAATTTTAATACACTAACACAAACAGTAAGCTAAATCTTGTTCATAAAATTTAATGCAATTATATTTTATTCTAACACTATAGTGTAAAATAGGATAAACACTGGTTAGTACAACAAGGACCATCTCCACTTCCTGATAAATTACTGCCCAAGTTGGATGACATATACAGAAGAAGATGGGAAACATTATTGGCTGTAGATGAGCTTATAACAAATATATATCAAGCTCTAAAATCGCAAAATCTTTTAAATAACACTTACATGATATTTACATCTGATAATGGATATCATATTGGTAACACATTTTATATCTAAACAACATAAGCTAGATAATTGTAAATGATGTATAGACATTACTTACTGTATTCCATAGGTCAGTTCAGTATGCCTATAGATAAACGTCAACCGTATGAAACTGATATTAGGGTTCCATTGTTAATTCAAGGCCCTGGAATTACACCATCCAAAATTTCTGCACCTGTTAGTACCGTTGATTTGTTTGCTACAATTCTAGAAATAGCTGGTATTCAACTACCATCCGATGGAGCCTCTTTGTTAAAAAAAACATTGCCAGAAGATAGAACACTGTTAGTAGAATATAGGGGAGAAAGATCTGACGACCCTCCCTCGGGTTGTCCAAGTGATAGTGATCCAAATGTTGCAGTAAGTTTTACATAGATGGGAACAAATGTAACCGAGATATAAATCAATGCTACTATTATTTCTATAAAATATGTACTATTTATAGTTATGCAACAAGGACCTGGCATGTAAATGCCAAGATACTGTAAATAATACTTTCACTTGTATACGACGTATGTCTCCGCAGTACAATAACATTTTCTGCGTCTTCGATGACGATAAGGTAGTAGTAACGATAAACAAAGTATGTTATGTATTATAAAAATGATTTATTGTATACTCATATCTATCATTATTGAAATAGCATTTTATCGAAGCATATAACATAACAACGGATAATTTTCAAATGAAAAACGTTGGATACAGCATGAAACGTCATCATAGATATAAATTCAGAAAGTGCCTGAAAAAAATGAGCACTTGCAAAGGGGAAGAATGTGTGCTTACAAATATGGAAGACATGTATATGTGATACCCATTTTTCGAAGAAAGAACAATATCCTCGGCACTATATACGCTGTATCCTTTTATAATACTGAACTAAATACTCTTTTTAAAGCATGTATCGTAAAATAAAAATATACATTTATTATTTGAAACGTTGCTTTCATTAACTTATTACACACTTATTGTATTTACGAAGGTATAAATACAGAAGCCATTAAAAGTTTGAAACGCCCAGCGGCCGTCTTATTTCGAATTACTGCATTTATGGAAATCGTGGGCGAAGAATACGCGGCGAATCTGGATATAAGAATAACTCGTCTTGCTTCCCAACTACCTCAGGCGAACTGTTTTCTTAGCAAATATTTTTATTAAAGCCCCGCTGTTCGAATATCTGAATAGCAATCGCGCCATTCTGGGGTAGAGAAAAAGTAAAACCGAACGAAGATAGAAGGCGAATATATGCTTTCGTCGTGTCCATAAATTTAATCTATTAAAACGTTTTGAATCGTTCAAGAATTTATAAACCAAAAAAGTATCAAAATCATTAAATTTGGTAAATTGCAGCCGAGCAAAAATATAAATTATTCTCATCAGTTTTGGAAAAAGAAATAAAATAAGTGGATGTTCAAAATTATTTGCGCGTATATACACATTGAATTCTCTTGAAGTAAAACGATGAAACGATGAGGGCAACTACAAAGTGCCCCGATTCGTTCCTTTCAGTGGCAAGCACCGTAAGAAACATCCTTTCATGTTGCATAAAAGAACGTCGAAATGTTTGTACACTCAACGTTAACCGCTCTATAGGCTGTTTAATCGTTTGCACAGATGGTATTTGGGTCGGGCAGATCATTCTCGATGTTATACAAAAATATATGCAAATTAAAAATGCATGCATAAGATATACGCGGTGATCTGATAATCATCGCCATTGAATAACATAAATTTCAAATATCATAGCTTTTGGAGGATTAAGTTTGACAAATAAAGATATTGTACATCAGAGGGTGTAGTAGTAAAAGTTGAGGATTTATGAGCAGAAAAATTCATAAGCCCAGTTATGGTGCGGTGCATTTCTCTCGAAAAGAAGCACAGCTGAAAACGCAGTATTCAAAGGAAGTTTGCGGGTGTTTCGGTGTTTCGGTAAACAGCATGAATCCCGGCTCGATCGATCGGCTGGAGAATTAACAGACCTCAGCCCGAATTGTGAAGTCGTTACATCGTCACTGAGACGTGTAAGTCGGCTTGCGAAAAGTCCTCTTTTTTTTTTTTTTTTTCTCTCTCTTCATTGATCGACGGAGCGAGTGATCGCTTCCTTGTGCATTAGGATCAATGGCTTTCGTTGGCTTCCGAGTTTTGGATTCTAGCTTTCCTGCCCCCTGGGGATCAACGGTTCTCCTCGATTTTTGCCGTGAAACGAATCGCAAACGTTCGATCGGTTGGTAAATATTTCTGCAAAATTCTGTTATACCCTTGCGAAGATTAAAATTCTAAATATATTTTTTTTCTTGTAAAAATTTTGAAAGATTATTCTTTGCCTAATCATTTTACTTCTTACAGCGAACTCTAATATGAAAAGCGGAAAGCATCGGATACTTTACTGAATCGGAAAATGAGTTAGAAACTTCCTCCGCTCAACTTCCTCGCAACTCCTCCCGGAATCCTCATTAAGAATCGAGAGTTAAATTCTGCAAACTTCGAAGAATATTGTATTAGTTAACTGTAAGCAGGACTCCTTCGTATCAAATAAAACTGACGTATTATTTGAAAAACTTGTGACGTTCATTTGTTTTTCTTTTTAACCCTGATTAACCGTATTTAACACTTTTACTTCTATGGACACATATCTGCGTGCATAAATTATTTCCTGTATGTCCTAATCATAATTAAATAAAAGTTATGAACGCATATTACTAATTAAACACCATATGTTATCACATTATAATGATATGACAAAAACTGAAAAAGAAGAAAGAAATGAAAGAATAAACTGAGAAATGAAATGTAATAAAAAGAAAAGTGATAAGTGTTATTCACTTGATTATTATTTCGTACACTCAGAACGTTCAAGCCTTGAGTAATAAAAGGGTTGAAAATGTTTTCGATTTGAAAACACGAATCCATTTTTAAGAACGGATGAATCGACAGCTGGGTGGTTAACAGGACGATAGACGTTTCGTAGTAGAATAGAGGAAGAAAAGTGCGGAGACAGAGATATATCTCGAGAACTTAAGTACTCGACTAGATCTTCCGACACCTATTGGTATCTTGTCAGTTGCGGACACGAGTGGAGCTCGTTTCTCGAGTTACAAAACTTCGCTAGCCAACGGCCGTGCCTAAAACAATATTAGCGGGGCCAATAGGGGTCCGCGCGACCCCTACACATTAGATATTTATTTAAGACCGTCCGACACGGTTGCTTTGCTCTTGTTCACCGTTGAATTCCAGCTTCGTGTACGTGGAAATACATAGACGTTGCGTGGCACACCGACGTACGTACCAACTAGACGGGGCTAAGTACCCCAAACCCGAAATGTTGACCTAGTTAATAGCCTCGTGTTTGATTTGACTACTGTTGTCCGGATAAGCGGCCCCGTAATGCGACCCACCCTCATCCCCCTCCACCTTTTATTATTATCGCTACTGAAACTCGATACTTTGGAAATTATCTTCAATTAGGGATACTGACACTCCTCGTTTCCTGCATCCCTTATCATTTTCATGTTTCAATCTTACCCTTCGCGAGGTGAATTTATAATTAACGTACGAACGATCTGCGAGCGACGACAAAGAAATTCTTAAACAAAGAGATACCAAATTTCTTGAAGATGGTGTTATAAGAGCTTCTTCTCAAATGAGTTAATAAATGTATCGTATGTACCGATTCGCCGTGTCTTCTTACGTTTCTCATTCCGTCTCGACGTAAGCTTTGCTTCCGCCGGTATTTGTCACAGAAATAATTAATTAACAGCAGAAAGTTTCTCTTACTCTTTCACCGTTTCCCTTGCTTTTTTCGAACCTTTTTCCCCGCTATGACCCGACCGGCTCATAACTGTTCTCGGCCGGTTGCTGAACCCCTTTCGCTCGTGCAACCCTTATTATCGTGTCGCAGCTCGGTTAGCGCGAGCGGGTTAATGAAAAGCTCGAGCAAATATAGAATTTCTCGTAAAAACTACAAATTACTGCTGTGTCGGGTGCATAGCCGCGTGCAACACATCTCCTCGTTTTTTTCTTTTTCTCTTTGTTTCACTCTCTTTCTAACCCTTCCGGTGAAATTATATAACTGTATAATACGCGAGAAACAGGGAATAATAAAAACGTTTCTAGGCGCGTTTCGAAGATCGTGGATGGATTTCATGACGGAGAATTCGCGGAATCGCGCGCCAGATGAAAAACGCATTCGAACATGTCTGGACGCTTTTCAGGGGTCGTTTAAAAAGTCCAAAACGATACGGTCGTAAAGTTTTTAATTTCGCAAGAATCGTGCTACCTCTACCGTGAATGTTTCCCCGGAAAAAAAGAAGTTTTCCCCGTCGAGCAACCCGGGACGTGCAGAGTACAGGTACGTCTTTCTTGATTTTTCTTTTCTTTTCATCTAACGCAGCCAATTTATGAACAGATTTATATTAATCTTTAATATGCTAATAATTTTCTGTTTACGAGAAAATAAAATTGAATGGAAGTGGTTGTAAGTAGGGGTGGATTTAGAAGCCTCGCATGGAAGGGGTGAAATATTTGTAATTACGCGTTGAATCTTTTTCTAATGACTCGACGACGTTTCCTTATTAATTCTCCGCTCAAAGAGAACATCGCGCACGAATTCACCCGGAACCGTTGACACGGGGACAAAAGCAACTGTACCATTATCCGGAATTATATTATTACACTCGTGGCGGTGTTTGTCAGTTTAAAACCTGGAGCCATTAGCAGGTATTATTTTAGCGGTGATCCAACGTTAGCGAGAACAATGGCGTTGTTGGCGCGGGCTGCGTCCCACGATATTAAATGAGCCGAAGTGATACATTTCGAGGGGATAGACGCGCAAATAGGGATGATGCGCTGATGGCACCGAGAGACACACTACTATATACGGGACGAAGAGATGAGAGATGGGTGACAAAGGAAGAGGAAGGGAGAAGGAGAAGAGAGAAAACCTGGTCAAAAGCACAAGGGTTGAGAAGAGGAAGGGGAGACCGGCACGTATTACGTTACGCCCCTGGGCTGTGTAAATACCACAGCGCTGTAATCTAGAGTTAATGGTGCTCTCATGATACGAATGTCTATTAAAGCCCTCGAAACTTATCGACAAGAACCACGAGGATGCACTTTGTCGAATGAACTTGATCACGTTTACCTGGCCAGCGTCGAGGCGTATTCTACCCTTCTATAAAGGGGTGGATCATTCGTGTATCTATTTCTACATTTCCTTCTAACAGTTTTGGTGTTTCTGTAAGAATATCGTGAAACGTTTAAATATTACATTATTAGCTAACTCGTATTTAAGATTGAAAATTTTAATAAGGGTGCTATAGTATTTAGACTTTCTGTTACTTTTGTACAGGGTAAATGGTAAGAGTTATTGAAAAAATTCTTGCGCCATTGTGTTTAGTGGATGAAAATCTCAACGAATGGCTGAGAAAAATTTTTTTTTTCTTTTTCCGGTCTGATTGGAAATGACCGAGAAAGGGTTGGCTCTAGAGCGAATCTCGTTCTAGTTCATTTTAGCTTGTTCCGAGTCTGACAATTGGCGAACGAATCGAGCATCGCGTCAGGAACGATCGAAATTGAAGGTGATTTATCGGGACGGTAACGCGACAGGTCGTATAATATATTAGCCGAGGCAACAGGCGAAAATAATAGTTTGGATAATTGTAGGTGATATCAATGCGCAACGGGCTAGCAGTGTCTCTGACAGCGCAATTATCTGCTCTCGCTTGCGGTTGCACGCCAACCCCTTTTATTATCGCCATCCCCAGAATCAATGCTCCTATCGTGCGCGCCCTACCCTAATGCCTATTGCCAGGGATTGTCCGATGATATCTATCCGGCCTCTTTATAAATCGCTGCCATATTTTTGCATACACATTACTTCTCCCGCTGTTTTCTTGCCTTCGAATCCGAACGATTTGATCGTTCAGAAATTTTACAGATG